GCTGAGGATTGAACCCGGGCCGCACGCATGTGGCGAGCACGCTGCGCTTGAGCCACATCCCCAGCCTTACCATTCTCAGACCATGTTAGCCTGGCTCAGCATCACTAACTGCAGCTTAATTCAGCCATTCAGCAATATTTATCGAGCACCTAATGTGTGACTGGCCCTTCTGACACTTCTAAGTGCTGGTGTTATGTCCAGGAACAAAACAAGAATTCTGCCCTGGAAGAGCTTATGTTCTAGCATAGAGGAGGAAACAGGAAGAGGAAAAACAACTAACATAAGTGAATTATAGGGCAAACCAAAAGATGATAACTATATGGGGTGAGGGAATAGACCCAGGTAAAGAGGACCAAGAGAGGGTTTGGTGTGTAGGACAAGGAGTGTCACTCACTTCTCTTGAGTTTTTAAAGGATGTTTGTATTGAAATCAACCCTCTATTTGAATTTTCTTTTCCTGCCACCAAATTCTCTACCTCCTATTCCTTTCCTAATTTTTTTTTTTTTTTTCAGAACTGGGGATCAAACCCAGGGCCTCACGCATGCTGGGCAAGTGTTGTACCACTGAGCTACAAGCACAGCTCTCTTTATTTTGAGATAAGATCTTAGTAAGTTACTCAGGCTGGCCTTGAATTTGGGATCCTCCTGCCTCAGCCTCCTGGGAAGCTGGAGTTACAAGTATGCACCACTGAGTTCAGCCCTCTAATGCCATTTTCTTCATCAGTGACTCTCCCCCTTTTTACTCTTTTACCCCTCTGACCTTTCTTTCCTCTTTCCCTTACATTTGTTTTTCTCTTTCTCCCAATTCATTTTGTCCCATTCACTTGTTCTTATGTAGTTTTCTTTTGGAACTAATGTTCATTTGATTAAACTAGAGTCCATGTGCCTTGTGTTACATTGTTTATTATATTGTTCACTTGACAAATGCTTTTTATTCTAACTGATGTAGTCAGAGATTAATCCTACTTCCACGGACTCTCATCTCTTAGGGCCACGCCCCATATAGAGGACCCCACCCCAGATATTTCTGGAACCTGGAGGAGCACCTCACAAGAATGTTCAGAGCAGTCCTATTCATGAAAGCCCATGGATAAATAAGTATTTAGATAGTGGGATACTATACAGCAGTACAAATTAATGAATGGTTGCTGCTTGCATAAACAGGGATGAAACTGATGATGATAACATTGAGTAAAAGAAAACACACAAAAGTGAAGGAGGAAAATAATCTTTGCTTCCATTTATTGCCATTCAAAAAATAGGTTTTATGACTGAGGACAGTGATTACCCTTGGCTTTACTAGGCAGGAGGAGTTTGGGAGGGCTGCAGGGCACTGATTCTATTCTGCTTGTTGATGTGGGACTGGCTGACGAGTGTGCTTGTGAAAATTCTTTAAGAATATACTAGGATTTGTATTCTTTTTATATGTATGTTGAACTAGAATGAAGAGTTTGCTTAAGATAATGAAAATCATTGTACAAAATAAGCTGTAAATATTTGGTTAAGAATTACGGATTTTACTGAGATTTGTGAATAACATTATTTATGCATTGATAAACCTACAAAAAATTACCTACAAATGGAAGTAGGGCTATGAAGAATACATCAAAATGATGACTGATAAAAGTAATGGCAAGGGCTGGGATTGTGGCTCAGTGGTAGAGTGCTCCCCTAGTATGGGCGGGACCCGGGTTCGATCCTCAGCACCACATAAAAATAAAGGCATTGTGTTGTGTCTATCTACATTTTTTTTTAAGTAATGGCAAACTTGGAATATGGGATTTTAAAATTATATTTAATAGTTTTTCTCAGAAAGGACACACCTCAGCAAAAGGCAACTTTGCATTTATTAAATTTATGTGTAAATATTTTCAAATTTATATTATTTCAGGTTTTTCTTAATAACACTCCTTTGGCACATGAATTAAAATCAAGAATCAATAAATGGGATGGACTCAAACTAAAAAGTTTCTTCTCAGCAAAAGAAACAATCTGTGAGGTGAATAGAGAGCCTACATCTTGGGAGCAAATATTTACCCCTCACATATCAGATAGAGCACTAGGGTATATAAAGAACTCAAAAAGCTAAGCACCAAAAAAACAAATAACCCAATCAATAAATGGGCCAAGTACCTGAACAGACACTTTTCAGAAGAGGATATACAACCAATCAACAAATATATTTAAAAATGTTCATCATCACTAGTGATTAGAGAAATGCAAATCAAAACCACTTTAAGATTTCATCTTGCTCCAGTCAGAATGGCAGCCATTATGAAGACAAACAACAATAAGTGTTGGTGAGGATGTGGGGAAAAGGTACACTCATACATTGCTGGTGGGACTGCAAATTGGTGCACCCAATTATGGAAAGCAGTATGGAGATTTCTTGGAAAATTGGGAATGGAACCACCATTTGACCCAGCTATCCCTCTCCTCGGACTATACCCAAAGGACTTAAAAAGAGCATACTACAGGGACATAGTCACATCAATGTTTATAGCAGCACAATTCACAATAGCTAAACTGTGGAACCAACCTAGATGCCCTTCAATATATGAATGGATAAAAAAAAAGTGGCATATATACACAATGGAATATTATTCAGCAATAAAAGAGAATAAAATCATGGCATTTGCAGGTAAATGGATGGAGTTAGAGAAGATAATGCCAAGTGAAGTTAGCCAATCTCAAAACAACAAATGCCAAATGTTTTCTCTGATATAAGGAGGCTGATTCATAGTGGGGTAGGAAGAGGGAGCATAGAAAGAATAGACAAACTCTAGATAGGACAGAAGGGTGGGAGGGGAAGGGAGGGGGGATGGGGTTAGAATGATGGTGGAATGTGATGGTCATTATTATTTAAAGTACATGTATGAAGACACAAATTGGTATGAATATACTGTGTATACAACCAGAAATATGAAATATTGTGCTCTACATGTGAAATAAGAATTGTAACGCATTCTGCTCTCATATATGAATTTAAATAAATAAATAAATAAAACATGGAAAAAAGTAATGACAAACTTGGAATATGGGATTTTAAAATTATGTTTAATAGTTTTTCTCAGAAAAGACACACTTCAGAAAAAGGCAACTTTGCAATTATTAAATATATGTGTAAATATTTTCAAATTTACATGATTTAAGGTTTTTACTTGCTATTAAAATTCATATGTAATACTACAATCATCCTATAGGTTAAGAATATGACAGAGATATTTTTAATTTCAAGTAAAATTTCCATAGACAATACAGAATTAAGGGTATACTTGCTATTCACAAAATGCATAGGAGAGTATTTCTAGAGTGTGCAGGTGAAACAAGTAAGACTGGTCTTCTTAGTCGCAAATGGACCCAAGATTTTACAAAAATCCAGCTTATAAAATGGAACTTTGGTATCTCCTTAAAAAAAGAGAGAGAGAGAGAGAGAGAGAGAGAGAGCAGTGCACACATTCCCTCTATTGAACAGAGGTATTCTTTCATTTTCTGCAAGACTATTACATTCACTCTTTAGAGATAATTTTTGCCCTTATAATCAGGTATCACTATGAAAATGAGATAGCATTATAATTCTGGTTTTGCCACAACTAGATATAATCACAATTCAGGATCACCTAATTTTATATTATCACTGATCATCTTCCTTCAGAAGTGGGAACATGGTTTCTGATTTTATTTAAGAAAAAAAAAACAGAGATGACACATTGTACCTTTGGATAACCAAACACATTTGGGAATTTCACACACCTGTGCTAAAGGGAAATATAGCCCTCAATCAAGCAGGACACTGGCTCAACTGAAGACCTAAGTACTTATTTGTTTCTGGAAATGGTGACTTCACTCCAACCTATATATTATACATTAATACCTAGAACTGTATTTGGAAAAGACTAAGTAAAAATGAAAGATAAAATTTGCTGGCTTAAGATATGGATTTTTTTAAAGTATCTATTTCCAAAGTATATATTCCAAACCATTTTTTCCTTTTGAGTTCACTCATTTTAAGTACAGACTACTATAGACATTTTATTTTTAGATTTCTTTTGAAAAGTAGTTAGAATTCAATTAAATATTACTTTATGTACTGATAAGTGGAGAAAAATATAAGCTAATTTTAATCATCATGATCTTATATCAAAATTGGTTTTGCTCATAATAGCAGTTTTCAATATATCATACCTATATAAAGTTTCACACAATGAGCATTTCTATAAGGATAAGTTAAAACTTCATTTTTAAGCTAGTCTGTCTCATATTTTATTTTCTTTGATCTTAATTGTGATCTATGATGTTATCATATCAAAAAATTATTTCTATAAGCCATGAAAATCTCACTTCTCTGCCCCAATATTTTTAAAATATATGAGCCCCATTCTAATAGTTTTTAAGTGAACCATGTCCAGCATTAAAGAGATCCTAAATTCTGGTTATATATCTGGTCACACTTCATTACTAAGTACTAACCAAACTTGCATTTTAAAAACTTTGACTTATTTTGCAAAAAGGCTATTATTGATAAAAGCATGAATAATTGCATTTCAGCATTTTCTGAATGTGCCTTTACTCTGTGATCAGTGCAGCTCATGGATATCAAGGTCAATCAGAAATAGATCTTTCTTTATGATTAGTCCTTCCTGACTCACCCGCCCACAGAAGCTATTAGGTCAACACTTACTCTGATTGAACAGAGATATGCCAGTAACCTGGTGCACATTGCTAGTTCATCTGCATGACAGATTTGCAGCATCTTACAATGTCAGCAGATCCTGGACATTACCAATTTGCCTGGGCAATTCTCCTTGCCACTTTGCACATTTTAGAGGTAAGCTGCTTATTAAATAAATAAGGCACAGAAATTATCTAAATGTTTTCATCATTTAATGACTAAGAGGTTAAAAAACTCAATGACTTAAAAAAATGCAAAAGGAAAAGAATGAAGTGTTTCAAGTCCAAAGAAATAATCAATGCAGAAAATGTTTGCATATAATGATATTGTTGGGTAAATTATGCCTTGCAGTCCTTGTTTACAGTGAGTGACCTCCTGATCCCACTTTCAGGAAGCAAGTCTACGCATAGCCTGTGGAAACAAAAGGGAAACAGTGTTGGTGCGACTTGTGTCTACATCATCCTCTTATAAATACGTTTTTATGGTATTGGTTGCTTAATTTTATACATCTTAGGTACATATTGTCACAATAAAAGTAGAATAAAACTTAATGACCTTCATCATACTTTAATTGGATTTATAGAAAAGCAATAATTACTATTTATTGAGCATTTACTATACATAAGACACTGCTCTTGTTATTTCACATGCATCCTTCACTTTTTAGAACTCTGTGGTATTTTCTATTTTACATGCAGATACCAAAATAAAGACAGGGTATGTAATTTACCCTGGGCTGTACAGCCAATATATCGCAGAATCAGGACTAGCCCGCAGATCTGTCTGGTCCTAAAGCCCATGCCGTTGAAACTGCTATGCCATACTGCTTCACCACCTATAGAAGCCTAACTGAATGATCCTTTTATGTGGTAGTCAACAAAAATCCTATAATATAACAGCTTCTTCTTAAGTTCCAGTTTTGATAGGAGTTTTTACTCAAACTAAGGCTGCCCTATATCCATAGAGTCATAAGTTACTAAAACTGGAAGAAATTCTCAGCTCATAATAACTTTCCTAGGCTCATTAAGCTGGTGGGCTAAGATGCAGGGCCTGTGATTCTCACTCTAGCAATATCTTTATCAAATTTGCTGCTCATTGTCTCTATTGCCTGATTTTATGACAGGGGTTTGGATGTTATTCTTTTTTAAAAATATTATTTATTCTGTGTGGGAGGCCGTTACTCTATGTTACCAGCATTTTCCCTCCCTGATTAGTTGAGGCTCTGTCGGTCACTTCCAAGTGATTTGGCCACATCAAAGTGGCCCTAGATGGCTGCCCCGATCTTGGAAGTCACAAAATGTCACAAAATGTGTTTTCATGTGTAGGCGTGCCTTCTTGCAGCCCCATGGGTTGAGCTATGCTCAACTGTTCCTTTGTGATGTCACCCCCTTGCCCTGTTTGGGATAGAATGTTCCACAGAAACGCCCTTTGTGTGTCCGCTTCTCTTGCTCTGCCTTTGGATGTGGCCTTCCTAGATGTCAGTCAACCTGCTGACAGCAGACATCATGAAGCTAGACTCAGCCCCTTGAAACTTGACCCTTTGCCTCATTTGAATGGCATCTCCTCAATAAAAGGGGTCAGCACGAGCTCACACACTCTCTCTCTCTTTCTGCGGACCCTTAAGGTCAGAAAACCATTACAGGACCCCCAAAGAAAAAGGTATCTCTGTCTCTTGTGTGGTTATTTCCTCAGCCCAGTTCCCCTGGAGTGACCCTGAGTGTTTTTGTCGCCGGGAATGCGACAATTCTAATTTGTTATACATGACAGCAGAATGCATTTCAATTCATAGTACACATATAGAGCACAATTTTTCCCTTCTCTGGTTGTACACAAAATAGTCACACCATTTGTGTCTTCATACATGTACTTGAGGTAATGATATCCATCTCATTTCACCATCTTTGCTTCCTCCTGCCCCCTCCCTTCCTTTCCCTCCCCTTTGCCATATCTAAAGTTCCTGCATTACACCCATGCTTCCCCCGCTCCAATCCCCATTATGGATCAGCATCTTCATATCAGAGAAAACTATTCTTATGAACAATTTTTATCAAGACCTGGAAAAAAGGCAGAGAAGGCATGCTTATCTGATTTGCCTCTGATATAGGTTGAGTTGGGGAGTTAATAGTTGATTGATAGGTTCAAGTTGCCAAACTGTTTCAATAAACTGGAACCATAAGGTACAATCTAGCAGAAATATGTGTAATCTTACATTTGGGCCTAAAATCAATAACAATATACATGAGCACCCCTGCTAGACCACAGTTTGTATGAAAATGTCTTTAGTTGACCCTGTTGGGTAGATGCTAAGATTTGCATGTAGCTACAATGAAAGCAGACATTTTAAAGTTACAGTAATAAAAAGATCTTGATAGGCTGGGGTTGTGGCTCAGTGGTAAAGAGCTCGCCTCACATGTGCAGAGCCCTGGGTTCAATCACCAGCACCACATAAAAATAAATAAATAAAATAAAGGTATTGTGTCCAACTACAACTAAAAAGATTTTTTTTAAATCAAGTTAAGTAGTGGTTGTATAATGTCCATCTGGGTCTGACCACCTTTAGGACTTTTTGTTCCCATCTTGGACAGTGAAATATTGACAAACTGCATGTCTGTGAGGAACAGTAGAAGAAATTGGAGGAGTTTTCCTGGAGGAGAGTCTGGAAGAGACATAAGAGCTATTCTCTGTTAAGTGGGAAGGTTTGTGTTGCTAAGGAAGGCAGATCTCATTCTCACTAGGTGGTTATTATGGAAAAGCCAAATTCAGTTTTGTAAACACAGCTAACATTTAGAAACTTGTGTCCATGTAGCAAACTCCATTGAGCATCACTTGTTGCCCGTTTTTGGAAATGTTCACACAAAAGTAAACATCCATCAAGAATGGTGCAGGAGGGATTTCTACATAGGGTGGGATGTGACACTACTTTTTTTTTTCAACACTGAGGATTGAACTTAGGGACACTCTACCACTGAACTGACCTACATCCCTAGCCCTTTTTGTTTATTTTGAGCCAGGGTCTCTCTAAACTGCTGAGGTTGGTCTTGAACTTATGTTCCTCCTGCCTCAACTTCCCAAATAGCTGGGATTACAGGCATGTGCCACCATATACCCAGCTAACTTCATTTTTAAGAAATCTTCCAACTTTAAAATTCTCTGATCTTGGGGCTGGGGTTGTAGCTCAGTGGTAGAGTGCTTGCCTAGCAAATGTGAGGCACTGGATTTGATCCTCAGAATCACATAAAAATATAAATAAATAAAATAAAGGTATTGTGTCCATTTACAACAAAAAAAAAAATCTTTTTTTTAATTCTATGATCTTCCATTGTTGCTACCATTTTACTCAGGGGTGGAACCACAAAGCTTATTCAGACATTAGAAGTTCAGGCAAGTTTCCTAGGAATAGTCCAATGCCACAGAGCATCTGAAATACATAGAATCAGCCTCCAGTGGAAGGAGTATCTTTTTAAACCATTATCAGTCAGACGAAGAAAAGTCATAAGGTTTCTATTCCTTATGTACTATTCCTGAAGCTTATGAAATTCCTGGGTTAAAAATTCCTCCATTCACCTTCTCCCTATCCCATGGCCTCAGGTCTCTGAACAATATTTTTTGGAGTTAGGTATAAAATCAAGATGCAGTGCATTAGCTACTGCAAGTTGCTGATCATCTCTATATGCTTTCGACAAAAGGTTGTCAAGTATTTCATGTCTTCAAGGGAGAATTCTTGTTTTCTATTTTTCCCTCCTTTCAAGCCATCCTTTTTATATTTTTTGGAACTCTTTTCCCTGAATGGTTCTTTTTCAAAAAATATTTATTTTTTAGTTGTAGATGGACACAATATCTTTATTTTATTTTACTTATTTTTTATGTGGTGCCAAGGAGCAAATCCAGGACCTCGCACATGCTAGGTGAGAGCTCTACCGCTGAGCCACAACCCCGGTCCCGTGAACGGTTCTTAATCAGACATACTCACTACTTGCCTTATTCGGTTTACTCAAAATTTAATCCAAATTATTTTCTTCAGGAGAAAATAAGTATCATACCTCATCCTGGACATCAAGTTCTTCCTCAGTCAACTCCGCTTCCATTAATTCAAGAGGATCTTTACAATCTTGAATGAGGGTGATCTTGACAAAGAGAACACAAAGTATTTATTGGCAATATAATAGCATTCATCCATCTGATACCACACTGAAAATTTGAAGCTCTGCTGGTGCTTCTCATCTCTAATCCCAGACTTCAGAATCCTCTTCAGATTTCTTCTTTTTTTTTTTTTTTTTTAATTTCCCACCTTACCATTTTCCCTATACCATTTTTTCACATTCAAGTGTGAAATAGAGAACTGGAGTTCTCTATTGTCCAAATTCCTTTTCAGCAGTCTTCCCCAGCCTCTGAAGTGCATGCCTCTCAACAGGACAACCCCTGCCTAAAGGACTGAGCAGTCAATAGCTCTCTTTCAACAGCTAAGCTAAGAGCACTCCGTGCAGCACTGAGCAAACAGTGAGTGCGCTGTGAAGGGCTTGTGATTCAGGTCATTAAATGGTCCCAACTTGAATTGGATGGAATTAATTTTATTGGAGGTGGAAACCAACAATCTATAGACCAAGCTGGCTGTTCCAGAAAGCTCTGCTTTTTAAGGGTAGTGCATAATTTAATCTGCATAAGGGAGAACAACAATCTAGGGGTTAATGCATGAAGGACATTTCCAAAGCAACTCCAAATATATGCCAAGGATAAAATGTCATCTTGTGGTGCTACTTTGCTCTTTTTCATCTCACAAACAACCCACTTCTCTTTTTTAGTATGGAAGTTAATTAAAAGATTAAGTTGCTATGGTCATGACAGAATGGGAAAAGTACAGTGAAGTGTAGTGACAAGTTGGGACTGTTCTGGGGGAAGAAAAGGGATAGGAGAGGATCATATTGCTGCTTCTACAGTGTCCTTAATATACAAGTGACTGTTTTTGAAAAAAAGGAAAGTAGCACAGGTGAGGTTTGTCATCATTTACCATTTATCTATCATGTATGGAGCTTTGTGCTAGACCCTAAGGAGACACAGAAGTGTAAGGTTCCTGATCTCACCGGCCACCAGTAATGCTCAGCCTACTCTTCAGTGAACCAGGAAGTATGTCATGCAAGCATTCAGTTACACTCAACCTAACATATTCGGAAAAAAAAAAAAAAAAATTCATCCCAGCCACTCACAGTGTCTCTCTGATTGCAAACAAGATGGAGCCTAATATGGTGGGTGTACTCTTTGTTTTAATATATATTTTTTAGTTGTCAATGGATCTTTTTATTTTATCTATCTGTCTATTTATTTATTTATATGCAGTGCTGAGGATAGAACCCAGGGCCTCACATCTGCCAGGTAAGTGCTCTACCATTGAGCCACAACCCCAGCCCCAGTGGGTGCATTCTTGGTGAGTGGGTTTTGTGACATTCACTGCCTAGGATTTTAGATCAACTTGTGTTATCAAAAATAACTATTTTCATGTTGATAAAGAACTCAATACCTTGGTTTTGCTTTTATCTTTAAAGTGGAATCTTTTTTTAGATATATTATCCCCCCCTTTTTTTTTGGTCTTTGGCTTAGAGAATTTTAAATTGAATAGAAAAAGGTTTATGAGTTTTCAAAGATGAGCAGCTTCCATGTAAATTTTTTAAAAATATATTTATGGTTTTATTACTTTTTCTCTTTTTCATATTTAAAATTGACACTTCAATATTTAGGGCCTCTCTTTTTTCCCTGGGACCATTAAGCAGAACAACCTCTCCACTGACAGAAGCTGAAATAGAATATATAATACTTTATAAATTAGTTTACTTCAAACATCAATTTCCAATCTACAATAAAGATCTACTTATCCCAATTTTATAACAATGAGAAGCAATTTAATATTCTTTATGCCCCTAGAATCATCATCATCATATTTTTGTTGGCATTGGTTCTAGTTTCCCAAATTCACTGTGAAAAGGTCAAGGTCAAAGAGAAAGGAGGATCTTGTTCCAGGCCTACCAGTAGCCTCATGCAATGAACTAGACCAGAATGTTCTCCTCTCCTAGATATTTGATAAGAGAACTGACAAAATAAAACCAATAGGAAATTAAGGCCTATTCTGTTTTGTGGGAGAAAATTCACCCTGGGTTTATTTGTGACCTTAGTATTTTTTTTTTTAAAGATCACTTATAAACTAATGGATCCTATTTAAAGATATTTATAATACAAGGATTTCCAGATTGCTAAACTTTATCTTGCATTTATATATACAAATCATGGAAGATCCAGGACTCAGTGCTATCTTATAAAAAGGCATTATAGCTAATGCCCACTTTTATTAGTAAACCCAAACATTGTAGAACTATTACACTCTAGGCATCCCAGGTATGTTCCTATAAAATATCTCATTTAGTCCTCATGTCTACTCAGCAAGGTAAATATTTTTACTTCCATTTCACAGATGAGAAACTGAGCCTCTGAGAAGTTATGCAACTGGCCTAAAATTCAACAATTAGGCTGGATTTCAAACTATATTTGTATAATTTTTGCAGTTTATAGAAAACTTGATAGTTTAGGAAAGATACAGATGCAGAAAGATTAAATACTTACCGTTTCTAAAATGGAATCTTGTCCATCTTGGGATTTAACCTGGTTCTGTATATAGATTATAGCATCATGAACAGTCAGAAAGAATGTGTCCTTTCTAATGTTATCATCAAAGAAGCCACATTGCTCCATCTTCTCTATCACATGATCTACAGAAGAAAGAGATAATGGTTAGTAGTTGATAGGAAAGGTATTTTTATAACATCTACCAATACTGGTTTTGTAGCTCCTTTCTTTTTTTCTTTCTCATTTTCAGAATGTGACCCTTTTCTACACTGACTGAGATTTTTTTTCCCCAGTAGCACACATAATGATTATCCCATAACTGCTTGTAGATGGCCTTAATCCATGTATCTTTTGCCAAATCAGTGTTATCAGCTGCTGCGAGCCTGGCTGCTAACGGTTCACAGCTCTGCTCCTCTCTGGGTAATTTTCCTTGGCCAATAGGAGCTGTTTTGCCTAAAGAGACCTGGAGGCTATACCTGTATCTAAGGGGGATCTGCATCAATGATTAACTATAATAAGAATACAAAGGCAGGCCCCTTGCTCAAGATGGTATAACCTCTGGTGATCTTCCTGCTGTGGAGCTCTCTATGCAATCAGGAGTCTAATGTCAAACTTCTGAAACTACTTCGATGACCAGCCTCTCCTGCCCTGTCCTGCTTTCTTCACTTCTTCAGTTACTAACGCAAGAATCCCTGTCTCAGGCTCTGCTTCTAGAGAACTCAGTCTAAACATTATCACTTTCCTACACACATACAAAGACACGGACATAAGTTTCTATACATTCCCAGCTGTGTGACACAAATTCAAGGTATTATCTTTGACATAAAAAATGTTCTCAGAATTATTGTGTCATTGGTACAGAGCTTCTGTTTGTGATGATGAAAAATTCTGGAAATAGTGATGTTTATAAATATTGTGAAGATAACGAATGCTAGTGGATTAACTATACACTTAAAAGTGCCTAAAATGGCAAATTTTCTTACACATTCTTTATAACAATATTAAAGAGTTTTTTTTTTTTAAAAGACCTTCAGACATTATGTGCCCATATTCCGAAGTAGGAGAGAAAGGACTTAGGGAAAAGTCTTGTATATTGGCACATAGATGCATTTACCTTGAAGTGATGCAAAGTACACATTCACATCAATTCTTTGGAATTCTTTGACAATCTAAAAGTAAAAACATCAGACAGGTAAGCATCAGAAAGGTAAGCAGACTAAGGCATGACAATCAGATGTAATAATATGAAGCAGATTTCTAACAGAGGTTTAGCTTAGCTGGGGGCTTTGGGGCTACATCTGCAAGGACAGGAAATGATTCCAGGGTGTGGGTACTAGGTAGGTAAGATAGGGAAGTAATTATGCTTGGCAAAAGTGTGTGAGAATATGCTGAAAGGTTCTGTTCTCTTAGCACATCTGGTTATTAGCTCACTGGAGAACACACACTTGTTCTTTGTTGTTCATTTCACTCTAAGCATTGGCTTAGATCCATTTTAGATTGTAATGGCCCAAGGGTTTAATGAATTACTTTTGAAGAAAGTCTAACATATTTAATGCCAGAATATTTCCCATACTTTAATAGTTGCTTTCAAATACAATGATGATTATATAGAATATATTGCTCATAGGTCTAGTGCATTGACTTTTTAAGATTAAATGTTTTATGATCATTGTAAATGTAGTTGTAAGGAATTGTAGAGAGATTTTATGTACCCCTTTCCCAGTTTCTCCCAATAGTAATATTTCATAAAACTACAATACAAAATTACTGTCAAGATTCTGACATTGATATATTCATAACAGAGATCTTGAGGTCTACCGGAAGTTTCACCTAAACTTGAAACCTAAAGGTGACACTCTCTTTAAAGACTTCTTCGGAACACTTAATACAGTTGTTAAATTATAAGATTACTTAATGTTTACCTTCCCTTCTAGACTGCTTAGTCCCATGAGGGTAGAGACCATGGCTACTTACTTCATCACTAGTCTCTTGTGCCTAGAAGAGTGCTTAGCACATATAAGGCATTTAACATCTACTTGAAAGAAGGTGTGAACTTGAGCTTGCATAACTGCTTTCTGAAATCATGGATGTTTTCACCCTGCATGCTTCTCAACTGTTGCCTTGACTTCCTACATGCCTGACTATTCTAACCTCTTAATAATGCCTGGTTTTTCGAGTCCTACCATGTACCTGGTGTTCCTTATGCTGCTGCTATTCACATAAAAAGTAGAATAATAATGACACAAACTTTGCCCATTTTCCCTTCTTTTCATATTCCATTTCCTATACATTCTCAGAAAAATAAAACACAATAAGTGTTCATAGCTGGGTATAATGGTATTCACCTGTAACCCCAGCATCTTGAGAGGCTGATGCAGGAGGACTGCAAGTTCAAGGCCAGCCTCAGCAATTTAGCAAGGCCCTAAGAAACTTAGCCAGAACCTGTCTCAAAAACAAACAAAAAAAGGTCTGGAGTTGTGGCTCAGTGGTAGAGAACTTGCCTGGCATGTATTAAAGCACTGGTTTTGATTCTCAGCACCACATATAAATAAATAAAATTAAAGTATTCTATCCATCTACAATTAAAAATATTTATAAAATAAAAAAGGGTCTGAGGATATAGCTCATTGGTAGAAGACCCTTGGGTTCAATTCCCTGTACAAAAAAGAAAAATAAATATTCATAATTGCTAAGGGGTACGTATGTGCCAGTCACTCTTCTAAATTCTTTGCATTTATTATCTTATTTAATCTTCATAACACTCCTGTGAAGCAGATGCAATCTTTACCCACCCCTCTATTACAATGAAGAAATAGAGACACAGACAGATCAAGCAACTTGTTCAAGGTCACACTGCTAGTGCTAATGATGAAGCCAGAATTCAACTCTGGCTCCAGAGCTTATGCTTTTAAATATCACACTCTTTAGAAGAAGGAGATCAAGGGGGAGGGAGGAGGGAAGGGAAAGGGGAGGAAATGTGGAACAAATTTAACAGAATCACATTATTTGCATATGCAAGTACATCACAGGGAATTTAAACCTTTATGCATATGTAGAAAGCACCAATCAAAAATAAGCGAATGGGGCTGGGGTTGTGGCTCAGTGGTAGAGCCCTGGCCTGGCATGTGTGAGGCACTGGTTCGATTCTCAGCACCACATATAAATAAATAAATTAAATAAAGGTCTAACAACTACCACAACAACAAAATATTTTTTTAAAAAAAATAAGTGAATGAATGAAAGGAAGATCAGTAGAGGAAGGAAAATAGGAAGAGAGTGGAGGGAAAGAGGAAAATAGGAAGAGGGAATCGGGACTGAAATGGAGTAAATCAAATGCATAATTTTGTTAAAATGAACCCAGCTTCTATGTAAAACTATACTGCTCTAATAAAGTAAAAAATATTGCATTCTATCACAAAAGTATTCACTTGGAAAAATTATAGAGCCCATGCATTAACTCTTTTGCAAAATGGGGTAACCCATTTTACTCTTGTCAAATCTCCAAGTTTATAGTTCAAATAAACAGAATCTTACCAGCCGCAATGACCTCACTCCAACGACATCCAGGAAAGATATAGCTCCACAATCAAGCACAAGGCTATGGATTGGTACCTTGGGAACATTCACTTTGACTGGAAGCTCAGAGTTCCAATCCACTTGAACCTCGATTTCCTTGGTTGGGATATCAAGTTCTTCAGGATCTTCAATATCTTCATCAGGCTCGAAAGCATTATTTGATGAACCAGCATCACTAACGATGCCATTCTAAATAAAGAAAACTCTGCCATCTTAATTGCCATTGATTTGAAATGTCTTTCAACCATTCATTTCAAGTTATTTAAAAGTCCTGCATACAGTGTTCCTTGGTAAACAAAAATGTCAAGAGAATGAACTCTTTTTTTTATGGCGGGTGTGGGGGGTACCAGGGATTGAATCCATGATGCTTAACCACTGAGCCACATCCCCAGCTTTTTTTATTTTGAGACAGGATCTTGCTAAATTAAGTTACTGAGTCTGGTTTTGAACTTGCAACCCTCCTGCCTCAGCCTCCCGAGCTACTGGGATTGCAGGTGTGTGCCACCACACCCAGCAAGGGAATGAACTCTTAAGGAAAGAATTTTACCTCAGCCCAAACTTTGGTGTTCTCTAGGAAAAAATGGAAAAACAAGGAGCCAAAATATTCTAGATTTCTGGAAGATAGTAGAACTTTGTCAAGAGAGATATTGGTAGGAAAATCTAAGCAGAAGTTAATAGCTCTGAAAGTTTATGAACTTACTGCCTTCTATTGTAATTTTCTGGCATTGAATTATTACTTTTGTTCCTTTAAAATTATTTTTGAAGAAAAACCCTTATTTTTAAAATAAGGTTTTAAAATTAATACAGATGATGTTCATGCTGAAAAAAAAATCACACCCTGTGTTTTGAGGGAGCCCTGCTGATTTCATTTTATTCCCACCCATTCCTCTTGCCTACAAGGACAGCTCAGCTGTTCTCTGACATACATATGTCATTCGTTCCTACACATCTGGATTCTAAAGGGGATAGATTTAATTTTAGATCATCTGACTGCTTTCATGGAGAAAGGAAAAAATTTAAGGGAGAAGGCTGGGGTTATGGCTCAGTGGCAGAATGCCTGCCTGGCACATGTGAGGCACTGGGTTTGATCCTCAGCACCACATAAAAATAAATAAATAAATAAAGATTTAAAAAAATAATTTAAGGGGCGGAAGAAAGATGGAGCCTCACCTTTGTTGCCCTTAACTGTCCTTTTTTGATGAGTTTCTGTATTCTCCTCAATGCCTTCAGCCTCTTGTTATATACTCTAATGGCATCAAATCCAACCTTTGGAGATAAATGTCAGGTTACTTAAAATGTCTGGTTCCCAATGCTCATTAGTGGCAATTGTTATCTGAACAGTTATTTCTCAAAAGATATTGTTTCTTTGAGACACCCTGCCAAAAAAGAAATTGTGCATTCTGATGGAGTAGATCCCCTCTACTATCAGGTCACCCAACCCCCACCAGAGACTTGAGGAAGACAACAGCATATTAAAAGTTCCAAGAGAGTTAAAAAAAAAAAAAAGACAATAATGGCAAAAAGTAATCTCCTTAGCTTTAAAACTCTCTTTTCCAAATTTCCGTAACATCACAGAGCCCTTTTGTTGTTTGCAAATTCTATGAACATTCCTCTGAACCAGTTTGCCCTGGAGCTCACTTAGGAAAACACTGATCCAGAGGCAAATTCCAAGTTCAAGTTCGAAGTTTAGAGAGGCATTCAAGACCAGAACTTCCTTCTTATGTATTCCTCTATTTACTCTTTAACTGGGCAACGGGTCCCCCCAATACACTGCTTCCGGCAGTCTCCTCGAGGCTCACATGACTCCCAAGCACCTGACATGATCCTCTTTTCCTTATCCCGGCTGTCTAGTTTGTCCAACTATCTTGGACATCTCTCCCTTCTATGAACATTTTTTCACTTTTAAAACTATTTGTTAATTTAAAATAATCAAAATAAACCCAATATGTGTCAACAAAAATACGTTTTATTTTTAATGAAGGAAACTATTTTTCCAAATAAAAATATTTACAACAGTGGCATTGTTTTGCATAGTTGTTTATCTCTTCGATATCTGCCTTCCCTATCTGCTCCTCTGGGCAGTCTGTTGCACAACACAATTTACATCGCCTCTGGAAAACTCCGCAAAAAACTCTGCAACCAGACCTCTGCCTGTTGGAATCCCAAAGTCCTAGGCAGCGGCCCTGGGCAGCACTGCAGGTTCCCGGGGCCACTCCCTGGGTGGCTCCTGGGTGACTACAGTTCCTTGGTGCCCGCAGCGATTATAACGTCCTGGGAACTTGGCCCAACTCGCCAGTCCTGTCCCGGTAGTGTAGCCAGCAGTCCACAAAGGAGCACTTAACACTTTCTATGCTATTTGTTTAGAATTCACTAAATTCTGACTGGACTCACCTCTAGCGTTTTTGCCTGGCAATTGTTGCTAGATTAACATGTGGATTAAAATTCCCAATAGATTCCCACTTAAAATTCCCACTTACTTTTCTCTCCCTATATAGTTTTTGAGGGGAAGGATATTATATAAAATGTCCATCATAAAAGGAATATGCATAGGGCCTTATTCCCAGTTGGAGCCCAATAAATAAATGAGTGAAATCTCAAGGTTAGAAACCAGACTTTGAGGGATCAAACACTTACTGTAGACTTGATACATTTTTTAAAACCATCGACGTTGCCATAAAAAATAGGACTCGAAAATCTAAGAATCTTCACTCCTTCAAGTTCTTCAATCTGGCATTTGAGAAAAAAAAAAAAAAAAACTTTTTGAGGTTAAATAATTCTGGCATCAAATCATCCATTAAATTTCTGGTTATTCTGCAAGGAGCCAGGACAGAATTGCTTAGGGGAGCTGGGTGGCAACGCCCAACTATTCTTTTTTTTTTTTTTTTTTTGGCAGCTATGTAACAGGATTTATTAGAGTACTAGAAAGAAAGAAAACAAAGCTCTCAGGGCTGGGGTTGTGTCTCAGTGGTACAGTGCTCGCCTAGCACATGCGAGGCCCTGGGTTCGATTCTCAGCACCACATAAAAATAAATAAATAAAATAAAGGTATTGTGTCCAACTACAACTAAAAAAATAAAAAATAAATTTTAAAAATCTGAAACTAAGGGAAAAAAAGGAAACAAAGCTCTCAAAGGTGAGGAGTCCCAAGAGACGGATACCCAACACTCAACTTCCCACAAATAGGGACTTGCTTCATCCCATTTGGGAAGTAACAGATGGCCAAAGCTCTGGGACTTCCACAATACCAAAAAAGGTCAAGTCTGAAAGGGCACAAACAAACTGGGGCTCAAAATGGTGAAATGATTTGTCTCCAGTTCATACCGCTGACCCTCTAGATTTTTCTAAAATTCTTTGAGTAGTTTGGGAGGCAGGGGGCAAAATCAGGGTTTTGTAGAAACTGAAGCCTATGGTGTCATCTGCTTATTCGTACCCTGACACACAGTGGCCATGCAAAGAGTAGAATCCACAGAATCAGAATCAGGCTTTTCTGTTCTTTAGGAATCATAGCAGTATTAATCTGGCCCTTTGGGGTAAGAAAATTGAGGCCCTGAGAGGCTGAGTGACTTCGACAGTCTCACCAAGGCGGAGCCTAGATTTTAGAACTCCCAAAATTCAGGCTAGGGTTCCCTATGCCAGAGTCCAAAATCATTTTTAGCTCTTGATGCACTTGGTTCAACATAACAAAGATTGTGAAAATAAAGTAGCAGCTACAGAAATTCCAGGTTCAGTGTCCAATAATTCTTTAATATTAACATAAAATTAGACTATAACTTCCTAGGGCTCACATTTATGCCTTATATGTTACATATATATATACACATATGCATATATACATATACACATATAAATATGCATAAGTATGGTTTTGTTTTATATGTTTGTTGCTAAATTTCTGTTTTCTTTAATTTACTTTTTCCACTTTTTCATCTGTTTCCTTTAGTGGTCACTAAGCAATTGTATTTGCAGGCAACACAAGCCCATCAGCTTAATTTGTTTGTTTTTCATTTCCTGTGTCCTAATATTTCTTCCAATTTCAAGGATAAAGCAAAATATCAAATAAGCTCTTGATGACAGAGAACTTGAAAATCTCTTGTTAGAACTGAAAGAAGAACATCTTACAGGGATTTCAGGCATTTTCATAGAGGCTAACAATTACATAACAGAGAAAAAAAATTTGATTAAACATCTGGGAATAATCAAATTGCCTATTATTTAAAATTTCTTACTGCAATGGTTTTTACATTAAAATGACATTCAACTAGCACAGAGTTTAGATAATCCATATGTCAAAAGATGCATTGAATCAAAAGTTCTTATGACATTTCCAGTATACTAAGGACTTTTCCAGCAGAAGTCTCCATCTTTGACTACCATGTTATGAACATGATAAGAGAGAACTATGTGACTCCTGGATTGCAGGCTAGCAGACCCATATCTACCAAAAATATCACAAAGGCACTTACATTTTTGTAATGCTTGATACTTTTGTAGATGTCTGTACTAGGGATGCTTCCAAGGCTATTCCATGAAGGACTAAAAGAAGAGAAGTTAACATCAGGGGTTTTTTGGAACAGCCATATTTTGCACTAAGAAGTTTTTTTTTTTTTTTTTAAATAACAGCTACTGAAGAGCCCATCATTCTGGTGTTTTGGACTCTGTCTTTATTGCAGGTGACATTTTCCCAAAACTAACTCTGAAATGAACAGCTGGTGTTTTCGTGGAACTGGAAAAGGAACTAACTGTGACTCTCTTCTGATAGCTCAGAGAAATAATGAGCATCATGCTTTCACGTGCCTAACAATTTATAGGATAAGCAGAGAGCTTTCTCACATGTTAAATCTATTTGAAGCTCTACCATAACCTTGAAAGATCAGTGGTGCTATTCTTATTTTTATTAGTGAGTAAACTGAGATTTAGAGAAATTAGAAAAGACCCAGGGGTAAAGAACAGCATAGCCTCTGTCTCTTAACTCATATTTCTTTGGTGTCTGGTACTTATCTGTGACTTATGGCAACTTCCTGATGAAATATGGAGAATCTGCGGGTGATCAAATTAGTCTCTTTTTATAGAAACAGCAGCCTGGGAAGACCAGAAATAAGTCCTTCCTGTCAACTAGACTGTTGATTTCCTGTTCCCAATGCAATCAGATAAATTCCACGTTTCTTCAAGTGTGACTAGGGACATATGCTAAATGCAACTCCTAAAGAAAGACTATCTGTTTGGGGTCCTTTCAGCATTGTGCTTTCTGGATCAGCATTATAATTACTGAAAATTAAATACTGTGCAGTATACTACTTTTTGATGGCTAAAAGTCTAGTTACCAAACCAGCGGCTAAAATGTACCACCAATTTTTCCTTGGCCTGCTGTGTTGTGCTGATCTTTAACATAATACTCATAATGTAGTCTTCCTCTCCAAAACCCTTCTGTCTCAACCCACACTCACTTAAGAAAAGAAAAAGACACTGAGGCAGATATAGGAAGAGACATAGCATTCCCACACCCTCTTTTCTTTCTTTCTTTTTTTTTTTTTTTTTTTTTTTTGCAGCACTGGGGATGGAACCCATGGGTACTTTACTACTAAGCTACACTTTAGTTCGTTTTTATTTTTTATTTTGAGACAAGGGTCTTGCTAAGTAGCTGAGGCTGGTCTCAAACCTGCAATTCTTCTGGCTCAGCCTCCCAAGTCCCTGGGATTACAGGTATATCTACTTTGCTTGTCTGAAAGGCAGCATCTTTTAATGGCAATTTCTGAGATATTTCCTAGCAGCAAATGAGGCACTCTGGAACATTATGTGCCCTTTCAGGTCCCTGGGCTCCTAGGAGGCTGAGGCAGAAAGCCACAGGCCTTTTGAGTAGATGTGATGTGCTAGGGAAGGGAGGAAGGATAAGAAGAACTGTTGAAGGAATAGGAGATGTGAGCCTTTGCTAAGCTAAAAACGTCTATGTTGATGTTTTTCCAGGTTTCTTCTTCCTTCACGGCCCAAACACAGGCAGAGAAGAGGCCAGAAATCTGGAAAGACAATGGAAGAATTGAGGAGAGAGAGAAGCTCTGTTTCCCTCAAGGCCCAGGAGGACACTTACCAAATCCTCTCCAGAGTCAAAACAAAACCAAGGACACCTTCAGGCTCCCTGACCTGCCCCCACAGATTGTTTTCCTTTATTTAACTTGTCTTTGCTGCTTTTACTCTGCATATGAACTAATTATGTTTACTTCTCAGAATTGTGTGACTTTGGGGTTTGTGCCTTATTTGACAGATTTGAATGAATTTTGGCTATAATTAGCTGTTCTAAAGTTCCCCTGTACTGAGTTGCATAACTTTTGGGTTACTAGCTTCAAAAGACGAAAATGAGCTATAAATTTAGCAGTTGCTTTGCCTGACCTTGGACCCAGTGCCCACCTTGCATCTTATTTAAAGAAAAAAAAAAATGACAAAGCAACTTTGGACTTTGGCTGAACCATGTTTCTTTTAGTCTGACCATGGCTAAAAGGAGAGCACAGCCGTGGAGCATGTGACTACATGCCTGGACTTTAGGGTGAGGTAATCTGGGTTCAAATCTTAGCTCTGCCAATTGGTAACTGTGTGACCTTAGGAAAGGTCCTTTGGCTTTCTGAGCCTAAATTTTCTAACCTGTAAAATGAGAATAAGCCATCTTATTCATAGGATATTTTTGAAAATTAAGTATGATAAAGTTTGTAAAGCACTAGGTGGCTTAATTCATAGAATCTCTCAATATATAATAACTATTATCAAAGGAAGAAGTTTCATGTAAACATAGGAAAGTAGAGGATGTGTTGTCCCTTTCATAGAAAATCTGGATTTTAAATACTCACAACTGAACTCGCAGGACCACGGTCAATAGTCCAAATAGAAGGCCAGCTAGTAAGCCCAGGTCCAACCCCAGAATGATGGACATGATGCATGTAAATACCCAGATAACCTACAGGGGAATGGAAATGAAAAGAATTACATTGATTCATAGGGTACTGTCAAACGTTAGGCTACCTATAACAATAAAATCAATCATTCACAATTATACCTTTTAAAAAATATTCTGACATCATTCATTTTATCCATCCATTCATTCATATTTAAGTGAAACTGGAGTTGGCCTTCCCAATAAAGACCAACTGTCCCATTTTATTTGTTTTTAAATATTTGAATAGGGCTCAAAAGAGAATTAATTTTAAGAGCTTTACAGTGAAAACTCTTGCTCACAATTTCTTTCCTCTCTCCACCCATTCCCAATCACCCTCCCTACATGTAGTCTCTTCATTTTTGTGGGTATGCGCGCATGCGTACACACACACACACACACACACACACACACACTTTTCCCCAGCATTTCTATTCTGGTCTCTTTTTTACACATCAATATATAGGAAGTTTTCTCTGTGCATGTGTGTGTCTAAATTAGAGTAAACTGTAGAGGACTCATTTCTGGCTTTTGTAATTCCTCAGAATAGTTGTGAAGGACATTTTAGTCACAAACTCAGCATGGGGTTTTGTATTTTGTTTTTGTGTTTTTTTAAAATTTGTCCTTTAAACTAGGTTTTAAAGAAAATGTGGTGTGTTGTGTTTTGCTTTGTTTTGGCTTGAGAAGGCCCAGGGCCTTATATGGGATTCTTGTTAGAAATCAGTCTTCTCAGAGATAGAGGAGCTTCACTAATGCAGTTCACATAGAATACAACAAGGCTTTTGTTTATGCACACAATTCTAATTTCTGCTCTGAGGTTTCCAAAGTGCAGGTAAGATTTAGGAAACGGGGAGACTTAGTGATATGACAGGAAGCATATGAAAACCAAATCTTATTTCAGAGAATGGGTGGTGGGTGACTTACAGCATCAGTCTTATTCTGCCTCCACAAACGAGGAACATCACACACCTGCATAAACATCCCTTTCAGGTTGGCAATTACAACAGCTGCCAGGACTGACTGCCAAGAGAGACAGGGAAGGCTGTGTTATTCAGGGGAATAGCTTTCCATGTGATGATTTTTAAATCCCCTGTTATTTCTCTGGTAGCAGAGTGGTGACAGGAAATTATGCAATCAGTATGCAGAGAAGCAGGGTTTTACCTTCTGCAAGGGTTCCAGAAGCTTCCCCAGGGCAACAATGGCGATCATCACAATCCCAGCAGAGATGATGCCAGCAATCTGAAAGACATACACCTTGCATGAAGAGGGTTCATCCTCCTCCCTAGTGTCTTTCAGCTCACCACATGATCATGAACGATCCTGCACACAGGCTCATTTGGTGCTTCTCTGATTTCTCTCCTCCCCCAGCTTCTGCTCAATATTGGGAGAAATGAGCATCATTTGCTAAATCAATACAAAACTGAAAAAAAAAGAAAAACATATATGTGTGTGGAAGTGTGTGTGTGTGTGTGTGTATGCTATTGCAGAGAAATTAAAGAAAATGTGGAAAGTGGGCCTGCTGAAGTAAAGCTACTTTAATTAATGTGGATTTTATCGGATAGATTATACCTACAGTTTTAGTGACAATTCTGGAGCCAACCTTCTAGTAGTTGCCAAGCCATGAAACATACCAACTCTCTTCCTAACAACAGAGATTATTATCATGTTCTTGGGAAATAAATCTCACAGCATGTATCTGATTGTTTTACACTGTTGAAGCAGTGACCACAATAGCCACTCTGATAACATGTTGTACTTGTAGCACACGGTTCCCATGAAAGTCTCAGAGAAAATAAGTTTATCCATTCAATTGCCAATTCATAGTGCCACACTGGCATGCTGAGAGGTGGGACCCTGTCTCCTGCTTCCTCTGATATTTGCACAGGTGCAGGCTCCAAATTTGCCCCAAAGCAGCTGCAGTGATGGAGCAATAGCAGGGGTAAAGAAGTCCAGAAACTTTACCTTCACTGGAAAATAAAAAAAGAGCTCTCCTTAGGTCCACAGATAGGAGAGAGACTGAGGGGGCGGGGGACTATTCTCTGGTTTGATCAGATGACCAATGAATTCTCTCTTGAGACAGCTGGGGCAGGGCCAAGGTGGAGACTAGAAGCTCTGAAACAGAGGAGAAAAGAAGACAGGAAACCAGAAGCAAAGCTGTCAGAGAGGAATCAACAGGGAAGATGGTGTTGAGTACAAGCATTGCCTAGTACAAGAGATCTGAGTTAAAGGAGGAGGCAGGCACAGCAAATAGAAAAAGGAAATTAGCATACTTAATTAGAAAGTATTTGCTTCAACTGGCAAATGATATTCAGCTTATGTTCATTTATGTTCGGCTTATGGCTGGGTCAGTCTGGGCATACCTGTGATGTACGAAAATGCTCACTTTGTTTATCGAGCTCCCTACTCTATGCCTTTCCGGGCACCATGCCTCCAGGTTCCCAGCACCTTGGTGAGCTTTCCTCTTTCCTAACTAAGCAAAGAAGTTAGTACCTTTCCAATGACTCATGCAATATTCACTGAGCCATTTGCATCTCACTGTAGATAAAGGCCTCTGTGAAATGGTGAGAGAGATGGAGATTTGCAGACAGGAACCATAGCCTGCTGCCCAACTCAGGACAAGAAAGCATCCTCTATTCACCAGTATATATAATAAGTCTCCAAATATGGGGGTCTAGGCTAGTTTTGAATATCATTAAGATCTGTGAGGGGTCAATTACTTGTACTTATGGTATAAAGGCTGACTTGTGGGAAACTCTGTAGATTTTATATCTATGAGCAGATTCAATTACCAGGGAATTAATTATTCTGTTAAGTGAGAGAGTAATCAGAGCTACAGAGTAGTTTGTAATCAGAATTACTTTTTTATGAATTGATAAGAGTAAGATAGAGTGAGAGAAAGAACACATGGCCAATGTTCAGCTCTTCTACATTGTAGAGATGTGCTGAAAACACCAACACTTTTTCTTCTATTCATTCCTTCAGCAAATATATGCTAGGTGTTTCTTACATGCCAGGAACAATACATGTATCATAGATGCTAAGATGCCATTCCTACCTTGAGCCCAGCAATCAGCACTTACTGGTATGTGCTTCACAAACACTTCTGAATCTAATCCTCTCACTGTTCCTATAGATGGATACAACTTTAGTCCATTTTATAGGTGCTGAAACTGAGGCTTCAACAGAAGAAAAAAAATATGAGAAGCCACACAAGGGAAGACCTGCCAGTTTATTTGGTCACAGTCCAGGCACATAGATGTTGAACCCCAGAACTTAGAATACATTTCAGTAATTAAATATCAAGCCATTTCTACACTTGTTTCCTTCTTCAGTGCTGAAATCCTGGCATCCATCATTCCTAAATATAATACACGCCAGTGTGTGGCAGAGGATATTAGCTTACCAGAATGCCATTATCCCCCAAGCCCTTTGCCAAGAAGGTCACTTTACATGGGCATTCTTACTGGGGCAGCCAGCCCATGACTCATTTGAGCTTTTGCACTGTCTGGTGAGCAGCACATCTGCAACTCTCATATAAAGTTTTTCTATGTTTGGAGGTAACAGCAGGAGAATGGACACCAGCAGTTCAGGATTTGCCTGCACCCTCTTAGGACCACGTGCCCTGGAGAGCTTATCAATACTCTGTCTTCAATGCAAGCAGCAAGAACTCCTGCTGCTGACAGCTGCGGCATAAAATGGGCACAGCTTTGGAAATTAGCTCTGACCTCTTCCCCTCAACAACAGATCTCTGGCTGGTTATGCCTCCTGGTTTGGACTATATTATTTTACCTGCTCCCTCAGAGGTAGAAATGCTTGCAAAAACAACTTAAGAAAAATTCTGAGAATTAACAATAAATTTTTGTTTCAAAGGAGCCCAGACATTGGAAGAGGTCAATTCTTCAAACTCTGTAATTATCACAATCCATTATAAATAGGAGAGGAACAACCTGTGTACCATGGGGACAATTAAAGCTCTCTCTAGACAAGCCACTGTTGGAGTCTTTTGTTTTCTTAGTTGTTCTCTTTCATAGTTATTTGTGTGTGTGTGTCTCTGCCTTAATAAAATGCTGTAAGAAGATGCTGTGTGTGTTTTACACTATTTAGTTTGGATCTGTTTTACTTTTAGAGTCTGAATGCACTTTACTTTTAAATAATGCTTCTTCCTGTGTTAGGAGAATAAAACCCTTCAGGCATAAAAGAGGCACAATTCCTGAGTCTGTCCCTAGCCCAAGGTCACTGGTTTGGCATATCTGATTCTGTGCCTGGCTTTGAGAACCATTCCTGAGCTTTCTGACTCACTGGGACTGATGGATTAACCAAAGATTAAGTGGGATGCTGGTTCTATGGTCATCTCATGAAGACAACCGACAGCCACATTTAAAAAGGCAAGATTAAGTACACATTCAGAACTTCAAGAACAAAAATCATACTCGGGAATAAATGCCAAAATGTGACAATACAAGATATTCTTGGCTAGCAAACTCCTATTCTGTGGGACCAAAGGCCTCTGGAGGAGGTTCCTGATCCTGGTAAAGGAAATGTGAAGAGAAGTTTTCACTTTCCTGAAAGCAAAATAACACAAAGCCATGAAGTGCTGGGCCTTCACTTTCCCCAGGTTAGAAATTACTAACAACCAGCATTCTTCATCCCCATCCTTGGCAGTAGCCAATGTCCCTAGAAAATCACTCCAAGTGCAGTGCTACGTGAGCATTGACACAAAGGTTTATAAGAATTGCCATCTCAGGAAATCATAAATGTTACTTTTCAAGAGGTTTTTGATGAGGGGGTGATTCAAACAGATGAACAGGCCCAAGTTGGATCCAATGAGGAAACACAAGTCCCTCTCTTCTCAAAGGTCAACTGTCCTGCCTAGTTCTTTCGCAAGCCTTTTTGAGCTGCCATTCCTTGGCTTGTTCTATGTGATTAATGTTATCTGCTGTCATTCCATACCTGTGTCTTTCCCCCTGTGCTCTCTTGGACAGCTGTCCGGGACAAGGCAGTGGTGGCCACAAAACAAGAGAAGAATCCTGAGAAGATGTTGCTGATCCCAAAGGCAATGAATTCCTAAGGGAGAGAATGGATGATGTAATACTACAAATAGACTCTTTGTAAGACCCTCACCTCATGTTCAAAGGAAACTGCTAAATCAATCCTGCCTGGTGGTCCAATTTCATTTTTACCATTAAAGGTATATGAGGATCTTATAAAACATCTGGGGTTTGGACTCCATAGAATCTAAAAGAAACTTCACAGCTGTTGATTGTACTAAAGGTTGACAAGAAATAGTAACTTGTGATCCTTTGCTAAGATGCTTTTACACTGCCTGGTGAGCAGCACATCTGCAACTCTCATAAATATAAGTTTTTCTGTGTTTGGATATTTGCTATAAAACATAATATAACTAGCAGAGCTATCATTCTGCTTGATTACTAGTCATTTAGCTGTAATTGCTATTCTGCTTTCAGAAACATCCAACCATAAAACCTGCAGTCACCTGACAATGTATCATATACTTACAAAAATTGTCCTGTATTCATTAATTGCACTGTGAACTAACCACAACATAAAGTGGTCATAGCTATTAATTGTATTTTTACCTTGTTTTGTCATATTGTGCTGCCATTAAAAAAGAAATGACCAGAAAGAGTTCTCATTCTGATCTAACATGATAACTTTGAGGGTTCGTTGTGTCCTGATTGAATTAGCTCTTTTAAGATTAGGGTTATTTCAACCTATTTCTTAAAAAGCAAAGTGATTTGGGAGTGGGGTTGTGGCTCAGTGGTAGCGTGCTCACCTAGCATGCTTGAGGCACTGAGTTTGATCCTCAGAACCATATAAATATATTGTGTCCACTTAAAACTAAAGAATAAATGTTTTTTAAAAAGCAAAATGATTCAGCATGCATATTTCAAAATAATTTCTAATTAGGAAGCCCGAGAGAAAAACCAACTCATTAAGGACTGCTGGAAAAATCCAAGTCTTTCTGTAGCAGAGACCAAAGTCATTCTTGTTTATGTTTCTTTCTTGTTTTCTGCTCTATAAAAGCAGCTCAGCATGAGGGCTCGCATACCTGGTTCCCATCGATGGTATAGTCGTGCTTAATGGCATAGACTTTTCCTACAGATACCGCAATAGCATAAGCCACCACAGCGATGGAAAATGATGCAGTCAGCATCTTGGAAAACAAGTTCACCGGGGGGAGTGCAGGAGGCAGAAACCTAGGAGTTTTTAAGTGAAAAATACAGTGAAGATTTGACAACAGCTCCTTTTTCCCACCTCATCAAATGCTGCATCCACTCAGGCACATGAAAGAATGAAAGGTCATGATCCAAGAGAATGAAGAGCACATATAATGCATGAATGGCAGCATCCATATCCACACTTTTAAATCAGAAGTCAGTGCTATCTCACTGGCTGCTTTCTTTGAAAGCCTCTCCTAAACCTCTGACATGAATAAATCTGCCTTGACTGATTGATTCTTCAAGGCCATACGGTTCACATATTAGAATTTCTCCTTTCGCAATTTAAGCTTAAAGGTCTTTGAACTTAAAAGATATTCTAACCACAATATGAGATTTACTCGTGTGAAGAGATGTCATTTTGGTTAAAGGGACCAATGGTATGATATTAAAAGAGTTCAGTGAAAAAGCTGGATGTGGTGGTGCATGTCTGGAATCCCAGTGATTCAGGCAGCTGAGGCAGGAGGATTGCAAGTTCAAGGCCAGTCTGGGCAATTTAGTGACTAAAATATCCCAATGAGTGTGTGGTTAAATGACTACTGTTTGACAAAACTAGAAGTGATCTATTAAACTACATAAGTAAACCTATAATTTTATAATCATGAGATTGTCCCCAAATGTGTAAATTTGGGGGATGACCTTCAAGTACCCATAGCTTGATAACTATCCATATGGTGTAATTTCAGACCCCCCAACCATAAAAATATCTCTCCACCTACCTCATTTATGCCTGAATAAAGATAAAGTGGAAAATTAGATTCTTAGAGAAAACCACAGATAAATTTAGAGTTAACAAGAATCCTAGATATTGCTTAATCTACCTCTTTCATTTTGTTGATAAGGGAACTGAGACCCAGAAAAGTCTAGATATGAGAGTTAGATAGTGTGACTTTCTAGGTAACAAGATCTTTCTGGTTCTCTGCTCTCATTAGGCTTTCTCTTCCCAAGGGGAGAGGCTTAGTTTTTAGATGCCTTTTCTTCCCATATCCCATCCTACCTAGGTGTAGGCTCTAGCATGCACCCAATCTGTAGGCAGGCAGACAGGACATTAGAAACCCTGAGTGACTCACCATTATATCATCAGATAGTCTGGATATGATCTTAGACCTCACTTCTTAAAACCAGGCTTCTTGGGGCTGGGATTGTAGTTCAGTGGTAGAACACTTGCCTAGTATGTGTGAGGCCCTGGGTTCGATCCCCAACACCACATAAAATAAATAAACAAAATAAAGCATTGTTTCCATCTATAACTAAAAAAATATTTTTAAAAAGGCTTCTTTTTTTCTGAGACCCAGTCAACCCTACTTCAGGTAACTATGGGGCCTCAGGATAACTTTCCAGCCCTGCAAAGAATTTAGTTTTCATAATCTCCTAATGTCCATTGCCTACCCACTGCTTCCTTCTCCAAATAATACCTGATCCTTGATTGTTCAGGGTCACAAAGGTAAGGGGCAAACTTGAAATCAAAGGACCTCAATCTCTCTGTGAGTAACTTTATGACTTGGGCATGTTGTTTAAACCTGCCAAGTCTCGGTTTCTTTGGCCATCTAGTGGGGACAATGCACTGTTCTCATAGAATTAATTGCAGTATTATATAGTGAGGAATTAGTACCTACACACATATTAGGTGCAGTTTAAATGGGGAGAATCTAAGTCTGTCATATTCCTGCCACCTTTCATTCTGTCTTGTTGGACCTTAGTGGTATCAATTATTTGCCCCAAGTCAACTGAAGCCCTGGCTTCTGATGACCTCTGCGTAAGCCTTTCCTCTAGTACTTGTCCTCCTTCAGTGGCTATAACTCTTTACAAATTGTATGCTCACTCAGGGGGCTTGTTTGGCCCCAGCCAACCCTGTCTGACCTGATCATGAGATAACACTACCAAGAGCCTGAAGGGGAGACAGCATATGAAAACCCACTGATCTGAAGATGAGGATGGGAAGGCGTGGGCCCTGAGGTGCCACAGAATCCACGAAGAAAGTCAGGCATGTAAACATGGTGCTACTTCCAGTTGGACCTCAACATTTGACAAAAGTGCCAGTGCTCCAGCTAAAGGAGGAAAATGGCCCTCAGAAATCAGCCAGGAGAAGAACTTCCAGAATTTTTTGGCCACTCTCCCCACTCTGTGTCCTTCCCTGGGCCACACTTCCAAGTACAACCACAAACAGCATGACAGGGAGGAGCCCTGGTGAGGAGAGGACCAGTCACTGCTGAGAGATGAGGCAGGAATGAGTTTACATAGGGATTAAAATTTAGAGAATAGGAGCTGGAATTGTAGCTCAGTGGCAGAGCGCTTGCCTACCAAGTGGGAGGCACTGGGTTCGATCCTTAGCACTATATAAAAATAAATAAAATAAAGTTATCATGTCCATTTATAACTAAAAATATTTTTAAAAAATTAGAGGACAGAGCAGAAAATTGTGTTACAGCTTAAAATACAACAGTGACATGTGCCTGTAATCCCAGTGACTCAGGAGGCAGAAGCATTGCAAGTTCAAGGCCAGCCTGGGGAACTTACTGAAACCCTGTCTCAAAATAAAATAAAAAGGGATGGAGATGTAGCTCAGTGGTGGCACATTCCTGAATTCAGTCCCCAGTAACACAAAAACACAGCCCACCACACACAACCATGATGACAGAGGGGTAAATGAAAGCCCAGGTTGTGATAAGTAAGAGACTGGACACATTAATAGCTATAGGATTGGGCTCAGTTGTATGAGGAGAAAGGCAGGCTGTGATTGCTCTCTTGGAACGGGAGCTCCCAGTTTGAGTGAAATCTCAAACGCTGACTGGACATAGACAGGTATCACTATCTATCCTAGCTGGCGACCTAATGCTGGGTTCAAAAAATCTGACTATTCCAATAACTTAAGAAAATGGCAAAGAAAGCACACAAACACACAGAAGTACCTTTTCAAAATCCGGGGATAGTTCTGGGACCTTAGAGGTTCGTGGAAAGAGAGCCACTGGCATTCTTTATTCTTAAATAGGGGACACACAAGGGGAGTTTCCATGGAACATTCTATCCCAGAAAGAGCAAAAGGGTAGGATTACAAAGGAACAGGTGAGTGTAACTCAACTCCACCTGGTGACGCCTACTCCTGGAGCCATGCCTCATTATCTGAGCGAAGGTAAAGCCCAAGTTATTGCAGGGCGCAATAATTGTTCAGTATCTCTTGCTCAGGACTTAAGGGCGTGTATTTCCGGACTGGCTCCCGACAGACAGGCTTATTTATTTTTTTTTTAGTTGTAGATAGATACAATACATATATTTTATTTATTTTTATGTGGTGCTGAGGATTGAACTCAGTACCTTACATGTGCTAGGCACGCGCTCTACCACTGAGCCCCAGCCCCAGCTCAGACAAGCATATTTTTACCAGGAAGGGAGTAGAGAAAAGGACAAGGAGTTACAGCTTTTGTCAGTCTAATGTGACATTTTTATTGGGAACCAAGCAATCCTAACATATGGCTCTGACCCTGAATAGGATAAAAGCAAGCTGCCAACAGCAGCCTGATTGGAGGCATGAGGCAGGGAGGAGATGAGAAGGTGGCACACCCCCCTTTCTCCCTCTCTGTTCTTCGGCCTTTCCCAGGACTCGCCTCAGCCACTTGAACATCTCTTTCACTTGCTCTTTTCCAATGTCTCAGTGCTACCCTTTCTTTCTCAGGTTTATTAATATTAGAATTGTTTTTATGCTACCAAGTGACATCAGATAACAAAGGCCTTTCTTGTGGCTTGTGTATAATGACACAGGCCTTGGTATTTTAACCCTTCAACAAATATTTTCTGAGAGTCTTCTGTGAGATAGGTACTGTGCTAGGGAGACAGAGCTGAGCAACACAAATGGGTTTATTGTCCTGTTGGAAGAGCTTATAGTCCTCACAGCCAGCAGGCTGTTAGCTGACCAGGTTGACCAGGTGGTCTGTCAGAGGATTCAGCTTGATTAAACCCAAGGCAAGAGGCTCCCGATCCATTCTCAGGAGAAGCCAGTCAGGAAAGTTTAGTAGAAGGCCGGGAAGGACAACTAAGGGCAGCAATCAACTAATAGAATATGGATTTGGGGGGCAGGGGATATGCTGCCCCCCATATCCACCTATAGTTTGTTACATATTAGGGGGCCTGACAAAAGGGATCTATGAAATATAGTTTTGTATAATTTTTATAACTACCCCAAAAATTGAATATTAGGGTAAAAACTCCATAACTCAAGTAGCCACATTGCAATTTTTTATCATTAAATTCCTCTCAGCTTTAGAATTCACTACTAAAATTCAGATCTTCTAATATAGAGTTTCCCATATTTATCTGATCAGAAGACTCATTTGAGGCAGTTTTGAAAAATAATAATTTCCAGGCCCCTATTCTGGAAAGCTTGATTCAATAGTTTTGGGGTGGGAGCCAGGAATCTTTGTAAAGACAGGTCTCACATGATTCTTACATGTGTAAGTTTGAGAAATGCTATTATGGGTAATATGTAACTCAAGTCCCATGTAGCTAGTTGTTTGTTTTGCAGTAATGGGGATTGGACCCAGGGGCTCTCTACCACTGAGCTATACTCCAGTCATTTTTTTTTTTCTTTTTGTACCAGGGATTGAACTCAGGGGCACTTGACCACTGAGCCATATCCCCAGCCCTAGTTTGTGTTTTATTTAGAGACAAGATCTCACTGAGTTGCTTAGCACCTTGCCACCAAAGGGATCTATGAAATATAGTTTTGTATAATTTTTATAACTAAAAATTGGAAGTTGTAGATAGATACAATACATATATTTTATTTATTTTTATGTGGTGTGCCACTGCTGAGGCTGGCTTTAAACTCACGATCCTCCTGCTTCACACTCCCAAGCCGCTGGGATTACAGGTGTGGGACACACGCCTAGCCAACTCTCCCTTATTTATTTATTTATTTTTATTTTGAAATGGGGTCTTGGCCAAATTGCCAAGGCTGACCTTGAACTTGGCGTCCTCCTGCCCCAGCCTACTGAGTCTCTGGGATTACAGCCCTGTGCCACCAGGCCCAGCCATTTTTCAAATATTTTTTGAGGTGATTTGGAAGAAATTGTGAGATTAATCAAATGGGAAGGTAGCAGTTTCCTGTGGAACAAGCAGTAGGAATTAGCTCGCCTGAGTAGTTTCTATCAGGATAATGGAAAAACAAAGACCAGCACAAGGTGCCTCAACTAAGATTAAGCGAAGGGAAACCAGTACTTACCAATCAGCAGCAAGTCTAGTCATAAATGCTATAAGTTAATGTTACATATGTGATAAACATCTGGGATTCTTTTTTAACACCATATAACAAATTTATAGTGTAAAACGCTTTTTCCACTTTGCATTTTATGAGAGCTCTCACTGGCATTTCACAAGCTTGAATTGAGGCTTCAGTTGTTGTAATTACCCTTCACATATAGGCAACTTCCCGAAAGCCATACAACTACACAGTGACAGAGATGGACACTACCAAACTTATTTAAAACTCCCCTTAAAGGGCAGGGGAAGTGGCTCAAGCGGTAGCGCACTCGCCTGGCATGCGTGCGGCCCGGGTTCTATCCTCAGCACCACATACAAACAAAGATGTTGTGTCTGCTGAAAACTAAAAAATAAACATTAAAAGTTCTCTCTCTAGAAGGGAAATTGCATGGAAATGGAAGGAGACCCTCATTGTTATACAAAATTACATATAAGAGGAAGTGAGGGGAAAGGGGAAAAAAAAAATCAAGGGAGAGAAATGAATTACAGTAGATGGGGTAGAGAGAGAAGATGGGAGGGGAGGGGAGGGGAGGGGAGGGGAGGGGGGATAGTAGACGGGAGTGGGGATAGTAGAGGATAGGAGAGATAGCAGAATACAATAGTCACTAGTATGGCAATATGTAAAAACGTGGATGTGTAACTGATGTGATTCTGCAATCTGTATACGGGGTAAAAATGGGAGTTCATAACCCACTTGAATCAAATGTATGAAATATGATATATCAAGAGCTTTGTAATGTTTTGAACAACCAATAAAAAAAATAAAAGTTCTCTCTCTCTCTCACACACAAAAAAAGTTCTTTTAAAACTCCCCTTAAAGATAATGCAACTTATGTATAGATACAAAAGATATAATTATTATCTAAGATAGATTAAATGGTAGAGAATTTAAGCCAGATGTCCCTGACTTCTCAAGCAGATTGTTCACAGTGCAATAAATACTACTGATCATAACTGTGTAATTCTATTATGTTGTAATTATACATATGAGTTTAAATCAGGATTCTGGTGTTAAATGTACACATCCTGCCACATTTTAAGAAAATGAAGGGAAAAGAACATATATAGGGACTACTTTTAAACAAATGGCTTGAACTTTATCCATGCATGTGCTATTTGTCTGATGCTTTGCACAAATAGGTGTTTCTTTAAGATCATACACAAATAGGACTACTGAAAAAGCACCAGTGAAGTGAAGCTTGTAATAAAAGGTTTCATTTAAATAGAAAGTACTGGCTTTATATGTTAGCATTATCTAAGAGGAACGTCATACTCACCCCCTTGGGATGGATTTAACAATACCAGCATTGTAATTTTTTTCTAAGTTGGCTCCATATGAAATGGCAGTGGCAATTATGGTCTGAAATAAAATAAAAGAAGATATGAAATAAAAAAATCCGCAATCCCTCACTGGTCAACATAATTAATGCTGAATTTTCTAACTATATGTTCTACTTACCACAATTACTTCTATAGGAATAGGAACTGGGATTTTGTGTTTAAATCGATCATTTAATTCCTTAACTGCCATACAGATGACAATGGTGAGTAATCCAGCAATGAAATCAGCAAGATTTGTCTCACCAATATTTTGAAAAATCTCTACCAGAGTCTGTAAAGAGAAAATAATCTTATATACTTCCTGCTGCAGAGACATACACATACATAAAATCAATTCTCTCCTGGATTTTCCCACATGAAAAATCAGATCATCAAACAATATGTGAACATTTTATGTTAAATCTTAACAATGTGTTGGTTAATACAGGGACCATTAAGTACATGCTGTCTCTGCTAAGTGTAGATATATACATGTGTATATGTAAATATACCCAAACATATATGTACATGTATGAGTATACACTAATGACAGTCTATTTGAAGAAGTAAAACTATGGGTGGTTTCTACATTTTTATTTTTTATAATAAAAAGTGAAGAGCTTTTTTGGGGCTGGGATTGTGGAAGAGTGCTTGCCTTGCATGCGAGAAGCACTGGGTTCGATCCTCAGCCCCACTTAAAAATAAAATAAAGATATTGTGTCCACCTATAACTAAAAAATAAATGCTTTTTTAAAAATAGTGAAGAGCTTTTTAAAAATGCCATTACATTCTTGTCCTTGCTGAAAAGCTTCAAAAGTTTATATCTTAAACTGGTTTTTACAGGTGCTATTAAATGGCCTATTTTTCACCAGGTGGATAAGGAATTATTGAGACTAAAAGTTAACAAACAAAAAAGTCCCACTTGTTTTCTTTTGGGGTGGGGGGTAGGGTCTCAATTAGCCAGCAGCTTAAATAATGCTTTTCCCTAAACCCAAATAATACAGGTAATAAAAATAAATAAATAATCCTAAAATACATCCATATGTAGATACAAGTACACTGATTTATTCTTTCTTTCTTTTCTTTTTTTCTAACTGGATATCAGACCCCCAGGGGTGATGTACCAGTGAGCTACATCCTCAGCCCTTTTTATTTTTTAGACAGGCTTTCACTAAATTGCCAAGTCTGGCCTTGAACTTTCAATCCTCCTGCTCAACCTCCCAAGTCACTGGGATTACAGGTGTGCACAACCACATCTGACTGATTCATTCTTCATGGCAAAGGCTATTAATTTGATCTGTAGGCCGTGTATATATATTTTGAAATTAATTTGGTACAGAGTTTAAACTTGAACTAAGATAACCACTAAAGATAATTCTTTCCAAGTGAGCAGAGAAGCCAGGTCAAGAAATGTAAGTTTTGTTTTGTAAATAAGAAGTTTTTGGAATTGAGGGTATTCTTAAAGGAAATTAGCAAAGGAGTCTGCAGGAAAGAACACTAACATCTTTGTTATATTTGTCATGTATAAGTCACAACTTAAGAAGACATCCCTTAAATCTTTGAGATTTGTGATCTCTCAGTGAAGCTTATTTTTCTTTGAATGAATCTTTATATAAAGATAAAGGAATGAAACATCTTACAGTTCACAACAGACACCTTGTTGATTTTTGTAGGTAATTAAAATTCTTAAAATAATTATAATGATAATCTGGTAACCGTTATATAAAGAACACAAAGTCATCTAAGAATCATTTTGCGAGCAACCTCAACTCTGGAACACATTCAAGAGTGAGGGAATGAGGGAGTATTTTGCAAACAGAATACATTCCACCAAGAGCTTGGATGGGAGCTCAAACATTGAGCTTGTAGGAAGCCTTTTGGACTTTCACTCAAAGGGGATTTTTGTTCTCATTTTAAACCCTGTACTCCTACCAGGTACTGGGCTGTCTGCTTCCCAGAATCACTGAGAATTGCTGGAGGCAGATAGGCTGACAGAACAAGATTTAGCCAGCAGCCCCACGGTGGAAGAGAAAGGGAACTTTCAGGAGCTGACGCAACAAGAGCTTTGGCCATCACACACAGGAGCCAACCGCCCTATTCCTTACACAGAGGCTTGAAGGCTGTCATTGCTGTTTGACGTTTAGGAAATCAATTTTCTAATGAAGACCTTCATTAATTCATGAGCTAGGTATAATATTTTGATTATATAGATTAACTGTCTATATAATAAAGGTTGACTTTCCAACTCAGCATGGGAAAATTCCAACTTAAAAAAACAAAACATTTGGACTAATTATCCTAACCAAACAAATATTTTCACATTATAAAAATCAGTGCAGAAGAGCTGGGAATGTAGCTCAGGGGTAGACCCCTTGCTTAGCATGTGCAAAGCCTTGTGTTCAATCCCCTATACCACCAAAACAAAACAAAACAAAAAATCACTACAGCATAGTCCCATTTAATCTAAGAGACAATTAGACCTTTGAATAAAAAGCACTTCTTGCAGGGTGCAGAGGTACACACCTGTAACCCCAGCTATTCGTGAGGCAGAGGCAGAAAGATCACAAGTTCCAGGCCAGCCCAGGCAACTTAGCAAGACCCTGTCTCAAAAGAAAAAAAAGGGGGGGGCTGGGGATGAAGCTCAGTGCTAGAATGCCCCTGAGTTCAAGTCCTAGTACCACCACCAAAAACAAAAGAAAACAAAACAACTCTGTTGGGTCAAAAATGTAATATGAGCTGCAAAAATCAAAATCAGTTCATATTATACAATTGTTTCAGCAAAGCATATATATATATTAGGTTTCCTACACACTGAGTAATCATTCAGGATTTCTTATGAAAAGTTCTACAGTAGAAACTTTAGTCTATATAGAAATAAAACTCAGGGCTGAGGTTGTGGCTCAGCGGTAGAGCTCTCACCTCGCACATGAGAGACCCTGGGTTCGATCCTCAGCACCACAAAAAAATAAATAAGTGAAATAAAAGTATTGTGTCCAAGTACAACTTAAATAAATAAATATTTAAACAAACAAAAAAGAAATAAAAGTCAGCCATATAAACTGAAATAGTCATAGGAAAAACAGTGGAATGAATCTGACATAACTTCCTATGTACATATATGAATATACCACAATGAATCTCAACATTATGTACATTCATAAGACTGGGATCCTAAATAGAATATGATAAATTCCATGCTTGTATAAATATATCGAAATAGATCCTACTGCCATGTATAACTAAAAAGAATAAAATTAAAAATAAACAGAAATAGAATGTACTCAAAGAGAGAAGAGACACTCCAAGGATGTACTGAAAAATAATGCTAATTGAGTTTTCTATAAAATACTAAAATGTGGATAAATATATGATCCTGTATTTTAGTCTAGAATTCTAACATAGTTCCAATCATGTTATTGACTTTTCAGTAATGTATAATATTTCACTATATTTCTTATGACTTTTGGGGAATTTTAGGACCATTTCATTTAGATAACTATTCTTGCCCAGCATTACCTAGGTGTAAAGCCATAGGGAAAAAATTACATCTGATCTTGTATATAATGAAATTTACTGGTTAACTTTGAAACTGAATTTATTTTAGTTTATCTTATCTCCATGAATATAACAAACCTTCATAATCACCTCTTGCCTTCAGGAACTTTCTACTGTCAGATATTTTGTGTATATGTATATTACCCCTTAGTGTGACTTTCTGCTTTATTAAGGGTGTAAATTTAACATACTGAAGTAAGTGAGAAGTTTGATCAAGCTAAGCTATGGCTTTCAAAACTCTCAGCTTTGGACAGAACTTCAGTGCATTCTTCTTCCTCACCTTGAAGCAAGTAGCATGAATTTAGTAAGCAAACAAAGAAACAAACCATTCAAAGTGAATGGAGGAAAACAACCACTTTACTTTAGCTACATGGTAGCATTAGTATTATTAATTAATTAGTATTATTAACTCTGAATTGCTGCCAACACCCTGTCATGCTCACTTCTGCATTCTATACCCAAGCATCTCTGGCACTTGTGAACTAAAGGTTTTTCTTTCATTCCTAAGAGTTCCTCCTTCAAATTTTTGTATTCATTACTTCTAATTATCAGTACGTCTTTGAAGGACACGCTGGAACAAACCAAAATACATTCTTACAATAAAAATATTTTAATTTGTACATGATGTTGTAATAAGTTAATCACATTTCAGGCAAAGTATTTTATAATAATCCTATAATCTTTCCTAGAAGAATCCACTATTGCTGAATTTATTGAAGGAGACTCTTATAAATGCTTACAATAGTAATGTCATAAGCATGGGTCCATTCAGGGACCAAGTGGCTCTTTGAATTTCATGCAATAATTTCTAGACCTGTTCATTCTTTTTTTTTTTTTTTTTTCCAGAATAGAATGCTTGCCGGGCATAGTGACACATGCCTGTAATCTCAGCTGCTTGGAAAGCTGAGGCAGGAATATCTCAAGTTCAAACCAGCCTGGGCAATTTAGGGGGATCTTGTCTCATAAATACAATTTTTAAAAAGAGATTGGGATGTAGTTCAGTGATACAGCACTTCCATAGCATGCATGAGGTCCTAGTTCAATTCCTAATACCAGAGACTTTTCAGAATAGAAAGTTTATATTTACTGTCAAATAGGGGTAATTGAAATTCTTCATCACACTTGACTGGCCTATAAGTAATTTCCTACAAAATTCTACAACAGTAAGCTCATCAGTTATAAGAAATGTACCACTCCAGTGCAATATACGATGTTAATAGTGGGAAGGTTGGGGATGAACAGTGGGTATATGGGAACTCTATACTTTCTGCTCAATCTTTCTGTGAGCCTAAAGCTTCTCTGAAAAGTAAAGTCCATTAGAAAAAATCCTATGGCACATGCTAAACTGAAACTTCAGGAATAATATTCAATAGGAAATAAGTGACACAATGATCATGTTTGGTTTTGAAATTGTGTTTGACCTTGATCTTACATGTCCATGTTGCTTTAGTCCCTTGTGAAACTGGGGCCATTAGCAGCAAGTTTCTTCTTAAACATAGTCCTAGAAGACTATATGAATCATTTCTCCTGTTCTCCAGATGTCCAGCAATGGCCAGGATCCCTGGTCAAGGGCTGGCTTATGCCTCCCGTGATCTGAGTGGATGTAGGCCTAGCACTGTTCTCGGAAGGGGTGAGCATAGTTAGTAAGAGATGTCTTGGTGAGTTTGTACTGGGAGTGAACAGTAACTGGCACATTTGGTAGCTATTCAATAAATCTTATTGCATAGGTCAGTTGAATGGATGAAATGAAGGAGTAGATGAAGTGTTGATGGAGAAAGTGTGAAAGCAGCCGAAGATATGTGAGAGGCTGCAGAAGTGACAGAGCCTGTCTGAATAAGAAGTCTGAAGTTCTCAAAAAGAACTGAGGACTTGGAAAGGGGAAAAAAAATAATTCTGAATCAGAAAGGAGGCTATACTAATAACGTTTTCTCATAGGCTGGTTCTCTGGGAGGTAAATAGTAACCTCCATGAGGCCTATTCTTCCATAATGAAAATAATAAAAACAATAAACTGAGTTCTTACTATATGCTAGATATTATTTTTAACGCCTCACACAAATTTTCTTTTAAAATCCTCTGAGATAGATATTACTATACTCTGAGAGATAGATATTACTATCACTCCATTTTATAATTAAAGACATGAAAGTTTAGGGAAGTTAATTTTTTGTTGTTTTTCTTTTTCTTTTTTTCTTCTTTTTTTTTTTTTGATTGATGGTATTTTTATTTGTTTGCTTATTTTGCAATACTGGGGATTGGACCCAGGGTAACCTAGCAATGAGATACACCACTATTGTAAAATTTTTTATTTTGAGACAAAGCCTCATTAAATTGATAAGGCTAGCCTTGAACTTGGGGTCCTCCTGCCTCAGCCTCCCGAGTAGCTGGTATTACAGGCGTGATCCCCTACACACAGCTAGGGAAATTCGTAGTAGCATAACCAATCACATAGGTAGGTGGTAGAAACAAGACTCCAACTCAGGTTTGTTGAAGTTTAAAGTCCATGATCTTAATCACTATGTTGTTCTCCTCCTATATGTATTTCTATCATAAGCATACTGGCAAGCTTGGAGAGAACACTTGGGAATACTTATTGAATGGATGGAGTAATGTGGGATTGTGGCACTATTGTGAAATTGAGCAAATTTTTGACAATATCACTAACTCTTTGATATGTATGCAGAGCCTTACATTGTTTTAGATGTTGAAGTTTAAAGTCCATGATCTCAATCACTATGTTGTGGGTAATGAAAGGATTCAAACCCCACTGGTACCTTATTTTTGCATGGTATAATTCCCCTCAAGCTAGAGTGACATCATGTTACTATTATCACCCATTTTTTCAAGCATTAGTAACAGGCTTTATATAGAATATATATTTAGATCCAAGAACTTCTTCAAATCTAATTAGTGTGATCTATATCCTTCTTTTGCATCTCTTTTGCATGTTGAGTCATCTTGAATTTAATGTTCCTTTTCATTTATAATTGCTGAGACATTTGCATTATGCATTTTATGGACTCTCATAATTAGAAAGGGCTAGAGAAATACATCTCCAATCATTTCATTTTTAAAATAAGACAGAAAAGAAGCCTTGAAATAATAATTTCAAAATAACAACTTTTTAGTATTTGCTATGTGTTAGCTCCTGACCAAGTGCTCCTCATCTATTCTTTTGTATGTGAGCCTGTGTGGTACTGGGTTTAACCCAGGGCCTCTGACTTGCTAGGCAAGCACTCTACCACTGAGCTATGTCCCCACCCTTCACTTTTATTCCTATTTAACAATCCAATCAGGTAGATACCATTAACAACCCCATTCTACAGAAAAGGAAACTGAGGCATGATGAGTTGCTCATATGACTAGTAAGTAGCAGAGTCAGAATTTGAATCCAGGTCCATCCAATTTTAAACCTGAACTTTCAGCCATTACCTTACTTGATGTATTCAAGGTCATTTATCTTGTCATAGCAAAGCAGAGACTAGAGTTCCAGTCTGTTGCACCTCAGAACTGTCTTTATTTCAGCATATTGCTTTTTTCATAAATGTTTTTAGGTACAGTAACATTTCAGAAACCATTCTGACCAGTTGAGAACACTGATTTGCAAAATCTGCCTTCTTCGATGTTATTTCTGATTCTATTTCTTCTTTCAGAGAAAAATGGTTTCAATGGTTACAAAAGTATATATGGGGACTGGGATTGTGGCTCAGTGGCAGAGTGCTTGCCTCACATGTATGAGGCACTGGGATTGATCCTCAGCACCACATACAAATAAATATATAAATAAGTATATATGGAAAACAGGTTATCCAGGCTCAAGTTAAATGGAGAAAGAACAATGACCCCTCCCCAGAATAAAAAGCAGCACTTACATAGATAATGGAGAGAACTCCGTTATAGTTTTTGGTTGAAACGTTGAGGACAATCTTTAGCTGCGAGACCAGTACCTGGAAGGCAGCAGCTGTTGTAAATCCTCCAACCAATGGATCTGCCAAGTACCTCACTATGAATCCAATCTGCAAACCTCCAAATACCAGCTAGGATGAGAAGAAAGTAAAAAGTTAAAATGTTTTCCTGAGAAGCTAGGTTTGTGGCACACACCTATAATCTCAGCAACTCAGGAGGCTGAGGCAGGAGGAGAATCATTAAGTTCAGGGCCAGCCTCAGCAACTTAACAAGACCCTATAAAACTTAGCGAGACACTGCCTCAAAATTTTTTAAAAAGAAAAGGGTTGGGGATATAACTCACCCCTGAGTTCATTCCCCAGTATCAAAAAAAAAAAAAAAAAAAAAAAAAAAAAGTCTGAGAAAAGAACCATCTTTCTGGAAATATTAATAAATTAAGTTTAATATCAATCAAAACCCCTTGAAATATAAACCTCAAAGTATTTCTGTGTATGTACTAAGAAAAGCAAACATCATGTAGATTTTTTCTGTGACTTCCAGGTCCCGTGGCTCTGCTCACCAGTATATATACTTTCTTTCTCTCATCCTCAACTGAATCAGGCATTTTCATCTGCTTTTTTTCCCCCCTTCTATCTCTACTTTTGATAGTAAGTAAATCTTAATAAGTGAGGTCTTTCAAACTATCTTAACATCTGGCTAAGATAATGTATTTGGAAAATAACTTTTGGGTCCCGGAAATTACTTTGTTTTCCTTTTAGATGAATCTTTATGTTCACATGTTTGAAGTTACTTATTGCAAATAAGAATCACACAATGGAGTTGGGGCTGTGGCTTAGTGGCAGAGTGCTTGCCTAGCATGTGTGAGGCACTGGGCTGGATCCTTAACACTGCATAAAAATAAATAAATAAAACAATTATTTTTTTTAAAAAAAAAAAGAGAGAGAGGGCGGCTGGGGTTGTGGCTCAGCAGCAGAGTGCTTTCCTAGCATGTGCGAGGCCTTGGGTTTGATCCTTGCACCACATATAAATAAATAAATAAAATAAAGGTATTGTGTCAACTACAACTAAAAAAAAAATTATAAAAAAAAAAAGAGAGAGAGAGAGAGAGAATCACACCAATCTATATTTTACTTGTATGACCATTACCTGTATGATTCCAACCAAAAGGGTAAGGGTGCTTGCAATCATTACTCTTGCAGTATCTCTGGCTGCTGTATCTAGCATGGTAGTATTCAAGGTACTTCCATTATTGCTGGACATGAGAAATTGTTCGTCGGGGGCCATACTTAGAACAACAGATCCCACCATTAAACTGACCACAGGGAAAGGTCCTGGGGAAAAAGTCTCTTATCATTAATCAGTTATTAATCACAAATATTTAGACTCAACACGTCTATGTAGGATTATAAAAATGTATGAAATAATTAGCTGTGGCTAGGAAAATATTGCTTATTCACAAAAGAAGTTGAGAAGTAGATATCTCAAGTCATTCATGATCCAGAAATGGCCACCAGACATGTCAGTAAGTGATCATGATACCCATTCAGGATGCTTTGTGAATACATAGGAAAGGTGTTTAGCTCATTCTGTGTGTGATCCTCTTGTGTATGGGGGATAAAAGTTGGGGTGGGAGTTGACAATTAAAGCTTTCCAGACAAAGGCATCATATAAAATTGAATTCTTACTTGTTCCACCTAATTGTTAGTCCATAAAATATTAACTTTCTCATGTGTCCAGTATCCTGATCTCTGAATCCAAGTGCCTTGATCAATATCACAGGGTCCAAATTGGCAAAGGAAGTATGTAGTTTCTCTTTCTGTCTTTGCAAGATAAATTATTTTTTCATGTCAAATGCCAGTCTGTAAGATTGTAAGTTTAAAAAAGCTCTGATTTCTCAAGGGTTGTGTTTTCTCTTATATGTGGAAGCTAGAGAAGAAAAAGAAAAAGAAAGTTGGAGTGGGGATCTAATTAAAATCAAAGGGAGATCAGTAGACTAGAGAAAGGAACTAGTGGGAGGAAGAAGGGGAGGAACATGGGAAGTACTGGAAAATGATATTGGCCAAATTATATTGTTTCATTGTGTGCATGTACCAATATGTAACAACAAATCCCTCCATTGTGTGCAACTACAATACACCCATTAAAAATGTGGGGGGAAAAAACTGATTTCTTCCAGGAAGTGTTCCATTCACTACTGATATTTATACCCAAGATGATCCTATTATTTGACCAACAAAGGGATTTGTTGTTGGGGGAACTCAGTACCCAAACCCAGTAACCTGGAATGTCTAAATGTAGAGAACACTGAGGAAAAAATAAACTCTTATGTTCCTTGCATTTGACACTGATGGATCTCCAAGATGAGAAAGTTCTTTCATTTAATAACCTCTTTCTGGTATCCTCCAGACAAGGCAATGAACTAGATAATGAGAGAGATACAACTAAGCACAGGGACATGGGTGGTGGGTAGAGTAGATGGTTATATTTGTTTCAAGAGGATCATCCAGGTAGACATGTCTAGCCAACAGATGGATACAGGAACAAAACTATCTTTAGTGTAAATGTCAAATTTGCACGAAATAGCATTAAAACATTCATTTACTAGAACATTCTAACAAAAGAGAACTTAAATTTTAGAAATGGCAGGAAAACCTTTTATGAGCCTTGCCAAGAAGAAAAATCAAGCTTGGTTTCTACATTTTTTGGCAAGATTTTGCTAGTCTTCCAATTTTAGTAACTTAAAAATCAGTATGCTCTTTAATTTAATGAATATGTATTTGATGAGTATAATTTAATAAATGCTAAGTTAATCCAGTAAAATACTGATTCAAAGACCTTGCGAAGATTTGTTACCCTGTCATTTTATATTTGGGAGAACAATTTCTAAATATAGAGTCAAATTTATTATATTTTTAAAATCAAAACATACTAAGATCTAAAGGCAGGATTTTTCAGTCTTTCAAATTTATCCTCTTAATTTTAAAAAGGTATGTATACAGTTAACTAATATTGACTAGGAAGAATAGACAAAGCATCAAAGCCTGATTTCCTTGGAAAGTATTAATAAAGATAAAGAAGACTGATGCACATAATATAGCTAAACACTTTGAACATGAATGAAGACAATTATAAAATATGTTTATATTTACCAACTGAGGGGCTGTGGTTGTAACTCAGTGGTAGAGTTCTCGCTTAGCAAGTGTGAGGCACTGGGTTTGATCCTCAGCACCACATACAATAAATAAATAAAATAAAGGTATTGTGTCCATTATTAAAAAAAAAATTACCAACTGAAATGTGTCTTGATGTTCCAAAGATGAAGTATGTCAGGATAGGAAAAAAAGCAGAGTAGAGGCCATATCCAATAGGAACTGCAGCTAGCAGAGCATATGCCATTCCTGAAATTACATTCAAAGTGATTAAATTCACAAACAAAAGTTACAGTATATTTAGATATGTAAGACTTTTCATTGATACTCTCAATTTATGGGTTCAAAACATCAGCCTGTCCTGAGTGGTTTCTTTATCTTGCATATAAACTGTGCCTAGGCTACCATGCAGCATATGATTTAAATCAGAATAATGATTTCATCTATGTGCCTTACCTGCTCAAATGAACAGACTTGATCAGTATTTCCATCATTGACTGATCATATCAAGTCAGATATTGACTAAGAACTTAGTAAATTCAGGGCTGGGTCTGTAGCTCAGTGGTAGAACACTTGCCTAGCACATGTGAGGCATTGGGTTCGGTCCTCAGCACGACATGAAAATAAATAAATAAAATAAAGGCATCTACAACTAAAAAAAAAAAAAATTAAGAAAAAAATCTTAGTAAATTTAGTGAAGGATCAGACCAGTTTTTGGATGTGGACAATTTTGTCTGAGTTCATTCACTGTCCCTCCATGTTCAGTCACTGTTGCATTTATCCTTCTCTTTTCTTTTTGGGGAGCAGATGTCAGATACAAAGCAAGACAAAAAAAAAAAAGACAATTGTACTTAGCAGCAGGCAAGATAACTCTATCCTGGTAAGGGAAAACAACTCCACCAGTAGGCTATGCCAGCAGCCTATGGGCCCACAAATGTTAAGCTATAGAGAAATCAACAATTCAGTGTACATGAGGGTTGGAAGAGGATAATGACACATTCTTTTTCTTGGTTAAATACTTAGGCAGTCAGTATAGCTTAATCCATAGTACCTCCCCATCCTTCAGTCTCAACAAGAGAAAGTCAAGTCTTTGGACCCTGAGTTGTTAGTAAAGGCCTATAACAATTTTTTTTTTTAACAGTAATAGCAACCCAACCCAAATGATCTGGCCTACAGGCACTCAAACTATTTTCTGAATGAAATATCTTCAAATAGGAAATGGCTAGTTAAATTATACTTCATCTATGGTATTTCTAAGTTGTTGATTTTGGGGGGGTGGGCAGGGGGAATGCATGTAATTCCATGAGATGTAATTGATGTGATGTATAGCAGGACATGGAAAAATGTGAAGTAAATTTTTTTATAAAGTGAGAAAAATAAAGATTAAAAACTGATAGTGTAGGCATGTTCCCACTCTTATTAAATTATTTGTTTAAAATATATATTTTAATATAAATTCAGATATGCAAAAAGATAATGAATATTAAAACACTCATGTATACATAATCTAGCTTAAAAAATGTTATTGACAGTACCACTGAACCTCTCTGTATCCTATTCCTCAATCACATTCCCTTTTCTCCCTCCCCCCTCAAAAGGCAAACATTATCCTGAATCTGGTGCTTATTAGTCCCGGGCATTTTGTATACTCTTATATAGATATGCATTTTTGTGTTTAGTACAATACTTACTAACACATGAATATCATAACATATGAATGGGTTATATGGTAGGATCAGAAAAGACTTCCAGTTTATAGAAGTGATTTTTTTCATGTTCCATATATATATATATATATATATATATATATTTTTTTTTTTTTTTTTCTAGTTTTCTACATAAGTGTTCATTCATTCAACAACTATTGATTATACACATATCAGGTATGGTACTACTGAGGTCTCTGCCTTGTGGAATTTGCATTCTAGAAAAATATGTATTATTGGTGTAATCGTTTTAATAGGTAAATTACAATAAGGAGTTACAACAATCAATAGTTCCAGGAACATGGATTTAGAATAAAAAGATGACTCCTCAAAAGGAAGACAATAAAGGAAGGAGGAGGGAATTAAAGCACAACCTGTTTCTAATGGACATTCTTCAAGTTCTTCTCAAAGTTCCATTTCCCTAAACTGGGCTCTGTAGTTTAAAATATATATATATTTAAATATATATATATTTGTAGTTGGACACAATACCTTTTATTTTATTTATTTATTTTTTATGTGGTGCTGAGAATTGAACCCAGCACCTTGCACATGCTAGGTGAGTGCTCTACCACTGAGCCACAACCCCAGCCCTCTGTAGTTTTTAGTATGCCTGGAAAAATGGGAACTTTTTCAATATCTGTTTAGAAACACCTGCTACTCAAGTATATTGCAATCATCTTTATTACAAAGAAACTTGGTACAATACTTTTAATGAGTATTCAGTTTGTAAAGAAACCTAAGCCATTAATTTAAATTATGAAATCTCTTTGTTGGTCCTATGATGTGTAGGATGGTGGCATCAACTGCTAAAGCAAGGGCTACTAAACATTTGGAAATACCCAAAAGGCAAGTCCTCCCACTATGTGAGGACACAGTGGTCCCTCACCAGAAACTGAATCTACAGGGGCCCTCATGTTAGACTTCTTACCCTCAAGAACTACAAGAAACAAATTTCTACATTTATTAAATAAGTAAATGTCAAAGATAGAAAGTAGATAGCAAAGGAGGGTCCAAAATTGCATATTAGAAGCACATAGCACAGCTGGACCTGATGGTGCATGCCTATAATCCCAGAGCTCAGGAGGTTGGGACAGGAGGATCACAAGTTCAAAGCCAGCCTCAGAAAAAGCAAGGTGCTAAGCAACTCAGTGAGACCCTGTCTCCAAATAAAATACAAAATAGGGCTGGGGATGTGGCTCAGTGGTCAAGTACCTCTGAGTTCAATCCTCAGTACCCATGCCCCAAAAGAAGCATCTAGCACTTGCCCATTTCACCTGGGTTAAATCTCTAGGAGTGCACACACACACACAACAACAACAACTGAACTGCAAGGCATAAGGGAACAGAAGTTTCCCCTTCAAAACTGTGGTTTGGGGAGCCAGCTGTAAGAGTCCAGGGGAATAAGCAGCCATGTGTGATTTCACTTAGGAGCTAAGTCACACTAAGTAGAGTCACGAGCAGTACATTGTGAGGGGACTGCCCACCGCTTTCCCCACAATAGATATTTGTGATTATATAGCTTCTTCCTGCACCAGTATACACTACTTATTTCTTGGCTCACCTCCCATGGTCCAGAAGAGGCAGCAGAGGCCATTCACTCTGCCACCTTTGTTTATTCCTAAGCTTTTGAGTTCTGGATATTAATCCTCTGTCAGAAGAACCCCAGATAGACATAACCAGAAAAGAATGTCTCCATAACATGTAGTTAAACAAAGTACAAAACAAATAAATAATATTAAAAGCTTCAAAAGAGAAGCATAAAGTCACATTTAAAGGCAGACCCATCAGAATTAATTTCTCTGTAGAAACTCAAAAGTCCAGGAGAGCATGGAATGATGTATCAAGAAGATATAATGATTATAAATATATAGAGATATATGCTGAATCAGAGCATCCAATGTTATAAAACAAAAACTACTAGACATAAAGGGAAAGATAGGCCACAATAAAATAATAGTTGGTGACTTCAAAACTTCACATCATCAACAGAACATCCAGATTAATAAAAGAAAAAGAAAAAAATCAACAAAGAAACATTGAGTTACAGATCAAATGGAATTAAGAGATATCTATAGAATATCCCATCCAATAGCTGTGGGATACACATTCTTTTCATAAGCACATGGAACTTTTCCTAGAATAGATTAGATATTAGAACATAAGTTATAATATTTTTTTAAAAATTGGAATAACTTCTTGCATATTATCAGATGATAATAGAATGCAACTATAAATCAACAGCAAGACAAACTCCAGAAATTATACAAACACATGAATAATTTAAAATACACTTTAAATGAACAGTAGGTTATTGAAGAACTTGGGGAGGGGTGGAATTAAAAATTCCTAGAATAAAACGAAAATGGAAACTCAATCTACCAGAAACTATGGTATACAGTGAAAGCAGTACTAGTAATGAAGTTTATATCTATGATTGCCTACATTAAAAAGGGAGAGAGAGAGAGAGAGAGAGATCTCAAATAATAATCTAATGATGTATCTCAAAGTCTTAGAAAAACAAGGGAAAACTAAACCGAAAACTAGTAGAAGGGAAAAATAGTATAGATCAGGCAGAAATAAATGAAAAGAGACTAAAAGAACAATACAAAGAATCAATGAAACAAAGGTGGGTTTTTAAAATTTGTTTTTTGTGGTATTGGGGATTGAACTCAGGGCCTCAATGTTAGGCAAGTTCTCTTCCAATGAGCAACACCCCCAGAAGAACTAATGAACAAATTCAGCAAAGAAGCAGAATGCAAAATCAACATTAAAAAATCAGTAGCTTTTCTATATTCCAATAATGAACTCACTGAGAAACAGGAAAGCAATCTGATTTACAATAGCCTCAAAAGAAAAACAAAAACCCAAAGAGTAGTAAACTTAACCAAAGAGGCAAAAGATCTCTACAAGGAAATGGTACTGGGGAAAGTGGATATCCACATGTAGAAGATTGAAACTTGACCTTTATCTATCAACCTGTACAAAAATCAAATCATAATGGACCAAAGAGACCTCAATGTAAGACCTGAAACTTTGAAACTGCTAGAAGAAAACTTACAGGAAACATTTAAAGATATTGGCACAGGAATGATTTCCTGAATAGAACTCCAATAGCTCAGGTAACAAAAGCAAGAACTGACAAATGGAGATTACATCAAATTAAAAACTTCTTCATTGCAAAGGAAACAATCTACAGAGTAAAAGAGAACCTACAGAATGGGCAAACATCTTTGCCAACTATTCTTCTGACAGAGGATTAATATCCAGAACTCAAAATCGTAACAACCTAAGAACAAATAATCCAATAGTAGAAGCGAAGGTGGGAGTGAGGTGCGCCTCTGTAGTCGGGCTGAATGGCCTCTGCTACCTCTGCCAAACCATGGGAGGTGAGCCAAGAAGTCAGACCACTCAGGACACAGAGGTGGTGAGGTGGTGGTGTGGGCAGCTGTCAGGGACCTGAGTGTGGGGAGCCTGCTGGCAGCTGGCCTGGCCTGGCCAAACTGGAATTGCTATTCTTGGCCACCGCAGGGCAGTCCACACTGTCTTCCAGAATCCTTATCACACAGGAAGAACATTTTCCTGACATTTAGGTGCTTTTATATTCATCTCAAAACACATCCTGAACTCAGGACCTGGCAGGTATTCTTATGTTGTCTTCTAGAGTAGGTAGTCCTGCTTGTCTCATCCAACCACTTTCCCTATTGAAACATGGATATCTTTCTACACATTACCTCCATGGTTTGGAATGGAAAAGACTGCTTTTCTTTTGTTCCACCTTTCAGATTCAATACAGAAAGAAGCCCTTAGGATGCAGTTATCTTCATCAGGAAGGAAAAAAAAAAGTAAGCAACTGATAATGCATCATCTTCTGTAGTTTGCTAATTATTGAGAAATTATTCTGCAAGCTGAAGGCTGATGTTTAATTTGAAACAGGTGCTTAGGATGTGGTACTGCCTGGTGAGCCCATTCCTCAGGAATTGTGCTTTTCTCTCAGACAACTTCTAAAACCTCCCCTACTTTCCTCAATACAACCATTTCTCTCTTCACCAGAGTAGAAGAGGCACATCTCACCTTTTCATTGAAAACATGGAATCCAGGAGAGATGCTCCCAGGTTGCTTTTCATCAGAATTTCAAGCCTCTCTGAATCTGCACACTTTGAACCAACTATCTTCCTTTGAAATGGAGGAAATCTCCTCCTTGTCCTTAAGGAGTAATAATCCCACTTCTGTCCAGCAACCTATCCATATTTGCCTCCTTCTTATGAATTTGCTTCTAGAAATTTCTCCTTTACTTCTTGAACCACGGATCTCTTTCTTTCTATGAGGTTATTCCTTCCATTTCACAAATAAATTCTAGTAGCTCTTGTATTAAAAGGAAAGCAGATCTTTCCTTCACTCCACCTGTATCCTTTATCTCCCTCCAATTCACAGCAAAACTTGCTAAAAGCAGTCCTGAATTTCCATGGGAAGCTTTATCCTTTTTTGTTTTAAACTTTTCTCTTTCCTTCTGGTCCCTCATTCCTTTGATCGTATCTTTTTCTCCAGCTTTCTGAGTCCAACTTCCTCAAGTTGTTTGTTACCCCTTCTCATTTTCCTGACCTCTAAGTACACCAGCCCTCTTCTCCCCATCTGCCCTTCTTTCCTACATAATTGCAGACCTTTCCATTCCTTTAATCCCGCCCTCCCCCCCACCCCACCGCCTTTTTTTAAAGGTACCAGGGAGTGAACCCAGGGCCTTGTGCATGCTACATAAGTGTTTTACCACTAAGCTACATCCCCAGCCTGTCCTGCCACCTGTTCCTTTAAATATCACCTCTAAAGTGATGTGACATTCAGCCCAGGCCTCAACTTTGATCTTTATACTTGTAAGAGTTCCAACTTCTGTTTGGAATCTCTATTTAGATGTCTCATGTGTATCTATCTCAAACCTAGATCATCCAAAAGGAAACCCTTGGTTTGTCATTCCAAACCTGCTTCACAGCCAGTTTTTGCCCCCTGCCCCTGCCCCTGTACCTAGGGCCTTGTGCATTCTTGGTATGTATTCTACCACTAGGCTACATCCCCAGCCCTTTTTAAAATTTTATCGAATCAGGGTCTCCCTAAGTTGCCAAGACTGGCTTTGAAGTTGTGATTCTCCTGAGTAGCTGGGATGACAGTTGTCTACCACCAAGCCTGGCTCAGTCTTTGCCTTTTTGTTTGTTTGTTTTTTGTACTAAGGATTGAACTCTGGGGCACTCAACCACTGAGCCACATACCCCAGCCCTATTTTGTATTTTTATTTAGAGACAGCAACTCACTTTCACTGAGGCTAGCTTTGAATTTGCCATTCTCTGGCCTCAGCCTCCTGAGCCACAGGGATTACAGGCATGCGCCACTGCTCCCGGCAATCTTTGCCATTTTAATAAATGACGTAACCATCCACCCAGTTGCACAAGTCAACAATCAAGGAGTTGTCTGTGGTTTTTATATGCACTTATCAGTTATACTGGTGAGTTCTTGCTGCAAAAAAATACTTCAGATGTTGCAGATCTCACCATGTTCTGCTTGATCTGGTTCAAGCCAAATCACCTATCCTAAGGGCTGGGTTTGGGGTGAGGCAAGTGAGGAGCCTAGGGCACAATATTTAAAGAGGCTCCCTGGGAGTGAATGACCCTCTTGCCTGGCCCTAAACCCTGGCCTTCCTAACCTTATCTCATCATTACCCACCCTCCCTCGCTGTACTCCACCTAGACCAGAATTTTTCCTGCTCCTCCCAGATCTAGCCCAGGCCCTGGAAAAGACTAAGCACTTTTTGCCCTCATGGATTTTACATCTTTACCTGGTGCCCTTTTCCTCCTGCTCAACACTTGGCTGCCTCCTTCTCTTCCTCTGGTCTCTGTCTATAATTCTACTTCTTCAACTCGGCCTTTTTTGACCATTGTATCTAAAATAGACCTTTCCTCTCAAATTAATTCCTATTTTTGGCATTTCAACTCCACCACAATGGTTGTCACAATCTATAAAATATTTTTTATTTATACACTTAATTATTTAATTCCCAGAACTACCACTAGAAAGGAGCTCCATGAGGTCAGTACCCGTACCTGTCAATAAATCATTGAATCTCATGGCTCAATACCTGGCATACAGAATTAGTCTACAAATATTGATTACACAAATGAATAATAAACAAATATATGAATGAGCCAGACTACCCTCCCAGAAAGTTATCTTATAAAGATAATGTTTCTGGAAAAACCACGTATAAAGTAAAGAACATCAATGTACAAGTTAAGATCTTAGAAATTAGACTCTGAATTCAAATTCAGCTCTACCACTTGCAGCTCCCTGAACTTGGGGAAGATTTAATAGATTTCTCATCTATTGAAAAAGGAGATGATAATAGTACCTACCTTGCAGGGTTGGTGTGAGGATTAAATGAGATAACTAGGCAATATCTTTTGTATAGTTTCTAATACAAACTAAATAAAATTAATCCATAGACTAAATACTTGTCTATGAAAACTCAGGAGACCTGGATCTTGAACTACTATTTTCATATATAACGACAATTAGTTATCAACAATTCAATCCTCTTCACTAAATATTTATAGGGCCATCTATTATGTACCAATTTCTATGCTAGGCAAACATGAACTGCTAACCAACTGCTAAGCAAACATGAACTAGACATGCATGGTTCCTGTTCCCAGGAGCACTGGATGTTGCTTTGTCACAGTCATTAGAGCCAGCTGCATAGAGCAATGCCCCATTCTGTTCTCCCTCCTATGGCTTTGGGAGTGAGACCCCACATTGGGACCAACAGAACATTCTCCCCTGTGGGAATCTACCTGGCCTGCTCTGAATAATCTGGAGCGCTCCATAACCAAATTTTAGCTCAACACAATATTATTTACCATGTATTACTAACTTCAAAGTAGTCTGTTTTCAAGCCACCTTTCTACACACAGCCATACCCTCCACTACTTCCCATCAGCTGAGACTCAGACTTAACCTTCAGGGAAACAACTTTGACAACTTAAGTTCCAGGAAGCCATTCCCAATCCCCTGATTGGGTTGTGGGCTCCTCGATGGCACCCCATTAGCAGGCAATGTTGCCCCTGCCACAGCCTTCAACACACTAAATTGTGAGCCTCCATTTCTCCACTAAACTATGAGCCCCTTGAAAACAGGTGGTACATCTTATTCTTGTCAGTGTACATCCTAGGTGCTCCATAAAATTATAATAAATAATGAGACTTCTTTTCCATGACTTGGAGGCTTTGAGGGATTGGACAGGATGGTGGTGCCAGTAGTGCTGAAACAAGATAGTGAGGATGAGGGGCAGAGGAGAATATCTATACTGTTACACACAAACTATGCAACAGATTTCTAAAATGCTTATGGAAATGTTATGGAATAAATCAAGTTCCAAAATAAAACAAAAAAATCTCACCTGTGTTGGAACATTTTCCCAGAAGATTAAAATAAGAGGATGGATAAAAGGGGAGTGGAATATTCATGTGTGTCCAAGCTAAGACACTTTGTTTTTAATTTCCTTTAAACCAGTTTCACACTACAGGTGAAGATCCATGCGTAAAATGTAAAATAATTTAATGAGCTAAAATAATAATTTTAAAAAACCAGACTAGAATAGGACACATTAGAAGGTATTAATACAATGAGAATAAACATTATTTCACAAAAATTTAATTGTGATTAAATTTATTTAATATTTATTACTATAAGTTGTGGTTTATAGGGGCTGGGATTGTGGCTCAGCAGTAGAGTGCTCACCTAGCACAAGTGAGGACCTGGGTTTGATCCTCAGCACCACATAAAAATAAATAAACAAAATAAAGATATTGTGTCCAACTACAACTAAAAAAAATAAATAAATATTTTTAAAAATTGTGGTTTATAAATGTGCAAAGCCACGGTTTGGTATATGCCTCTAAGTTGGAGCCACACAATTAGAGAAGCTATAGCATTTCCCAGGAAAAGAACTCAATGAAAGAGGAGAAAAGAGGTGAATTTTCCCACTGAGGGACTCTAGAGGAAAGATGAAGGCCTTGAAGGGGGAGTAAGCATTTGGTACAGAGCCACGGTAGAAGGAGTGGGGCCAGGCCATTGTGGACTACAGCAGAAGACAGTATCTCTCAACTACTTGAGACCCAGCCCACCAACATCTTACCTTGCAGTGTACCCACAAGTCCAGTACTAACTCCTGAAATGATATCACTGAGCAGCCATTCCTTGATTCGGTATTTGGGGAGCCAGTCCAGGATGGGCAAGAGAGACTTTAGCACACCAAAAGCTCTCCTTCTTGAACAACTGTCAAAAAATGAGAAAGCTGGGTTTCCAATTCAATTTCAGTCATAACCAATTGTAAATCCTAGAATTATAGAATAAACTCCTCTGATGTTTCTAACCATTTAGAAAAATAATTTATGGAAAATACTAGCACTGGAGAGCTACCACGATTTTGCCAAGAATTGTAGCTATCCTTTTAAGTGCACTGTACTAGGAAACACAGGATTAAATGACCCCTCCTCCTCTCCTCCACCTTTTTAATCCTGTGAGAAAATATCCCTACACAAGAACCCATTTTCTGGTCCAGCCAAAGAGGGATCAATGTGGAGTCTCTAAGTGGAGATTAATTTTTAGACTTCTAACCTAGGTACTGCCTTCTTTTCTTTAAACAAAAATAAACACACTGAATATTTTGGCAATACAAGCTTGGAGTCAGTTAAGAAAACCTTAACATAATAAATGTATACCTTGTAGCAACTTTAAATTCAACAACCTACACACATAAGAGGAAAAATATCAACAATAATAGGTAAACATTTGACTCATAATAGAAAATTGTGTTTTTAAAAATGATGACATTTATGAAACAATTGGAAATGTTTAATGCTGAGCCAATGTTTTTATGTTAAGGAATTGGTTTTAGGTAGATAACAATATGTGGATATATAGAAAGAATATATATAATATAATGTATATTTTATACATTATGTATAAGTTATACATACATATTTTATATATAATTTTATGCAATTTTTTTTTTTTTTGGTTCTGGGGAATGAACCCAGAGGGGCGCAAGCCAAACCCAGACAGGGCCTTCCTAAATTACTGAAGCTGATCTCAAACTTGTGATCTTCCTGTGTCAGACTCCCAAGTCTCTGGGATTACTGGACTGGGACACCACACCTGGCTTGTGGTTATGTTTTTAAAGAGTTCTTAGAGGTACATACTAAAAGATATATACAGTGGGCCCTCCTTTTCCATGCATTCTGAGTCAACCACAGATCAAAAATCAGGGGGAAAAATTGTGTCTATATTGAACATATGTAGATTCTTACTTCCTAAGTAGCACACTATAACAACCATTTACACAGCATTTACATATGTTGGTATTACAAGTAATTTATATATATTATAGCCATTTTATATAAGGGACTTGAGCATCCTTAGATTTTGGTATCTTCCAGATTCCTGGAGCCAATCTCCTATGGATGTCAGGGTAGAACTGTAATTGAAAAAGATACTACGTGGGATTTCCTTCAAAATATTGGAGGGGTAAGGGAATGGTTGTAGGTAAAATAAGATTAACTGAGTTGGTCATTGTTGAAGCTAGGTGATGAGTAAAAACTTCGCAGGGGGGATTATTATACCTTTCCATATAATTTAAGTGTTGCATAATAAAAGGGTAAAAAAAAGAAAACAAAAATTTGCAATTAGTTGACTGTTTTCTAAGTTCTTCATGTTTGGATTTTCTAATTCTGTGTGGCACATTTGGGCTTAGAGACATGGTGGTTCTCTGTAGGGGTCCCCCCTCTCTCCTGGTGAAGTAATTGGAGTACACCACTTGGAGCTGTTTTCTTTCATCCAGGTCTCTAACTAAATGGTATCAACCCGCATTCTCTTGAGGGTTTCAAGGACTCCTGGCCTGGTGGTGGGTTTATCCACCATTTCCTTTAAATGAGCCGTTTTCTTCCCTTCTTTCCCCATGCTGTCCTTCAAAAGAAGGCAACACAGAGACCCACAGTACCTCAAGGTACACTCCAGATTTCATCAAGAGAAAAGAGATGGGGCTCCGGGAACCCACTCCCTCCGAAGGCGAGTTTCCCCAGGCAGTGATTCCTGGCGGGAGACTGATGGAGCCACCGTCGGACAAGGAAAGGTGGCATTGTGGTGGTGAGACTCAGAATCAAGTCTCTCAGAGAAGCGCCGGGCAGTGCCGCGGGTAGGGCGGGAGCCCCCCACCCCGCACACCCAGACGCCCCGCTCCACATCTCTCCGCGCCTCTGGCCAACTACCTGCAGCTCTTGGCCAGGCTCTCCCGCAGAGTCCTGCGCTCCTGCAGGCGCCGCTCGTGCTGTTGCTGGAAGGCGAGCTCGTTGTAGACCGGCCGCGACACCACGTAGCTGCAGCTGTACTCTGGTAGCTGCGGCGGATCCGATCTGCTGCCCGGCGCTGCCATGACCTGCGAACCCGAGGACAACCAAGAGGGAGGAGAAGCGGAAAGGGAGGACAATCGGAGTTGAAGAGCAAGAAACAGGCTGTTAGCATCTGTTAGCTGCCTCTGGGCGCCACCTGTTGTGGCCGACCGTGGCGAGCCTGGTCTGCGTCCTGCAGCCCTCCGCGCCAGCGACACGCAGTTCCACGGCACACACGGCCAACCTGGAGTGGGGCACCTGAGCACCTTCGTGTCCCGTGGCCTTCACCTATTGCCGGGGACTGCCCCACTCTGAAGAGAGGGATCCTTATTCTGAGGGCTTCCAGATTTGGAACAAGTCGCTGCCTTGGGCAGCTGGGGCGCTGTCCGCGTCCTGAAATCTCTACAAACCACCCTTCGGACAGGGGCCTCAAGAGCTTGCCAGGGGAAAAGCACCCTCCCTTCCTGTACCAGACCCAGGGCACTGTTCCAGGCACGTAGTGGGAGGGGTGCACCAAGCAGGGCGTGGGACCCCCAAGATGTGCTCCTGAGGTCTCGAGGTTGCCTACGCTGCAGGCAAATTCCAGCGATAGGTCCCAGCTCTCCTGCGGGGTAGAGGAGGAGGACCCCACGTCTTGTTTTCTAACCCCCTTACTGTCAGCTTCTCAGAAAGAAGGCTGTACTGCCCCCTGCCCGCCCGCAGCGTGCCCCTAGACTAGTCTCGTCCCAGGGAGTTGTGCGAGGGCGGGGCGGAGTGAGGTAGTCTTCAGCGGTGAACTCACCTGCTTCGCTCCTGCGCTCCGCCCGGAATGCCCCGGGACAGCCGCTCCGCAGCCTTTATAGCGCAGACAGAAGTCGGTGCGACGTTTTATTTATGGAGCAACAGAGACACCTTGGTCAAAAGGAAGGACACAAGGACTGCGGCCTTTCCCCACGGACCCTACCGGGAAAGAAATCCTTTCCCTGCCGCGTTCTTTCCCTTTCCCGAAGCTGGAGGGCTGAGTGTGTTACTGGCTGTCACACAGGGGCCACCCAGATCTTCACTCACCCCCCAATTACTAAGGCGGGTGGCGAGGTCAGGGGCGGGGCAGCCCCTGTGGTATTCTTTTCCGGAGAGCAGCACCAGCTGGGAGGGCTGACCTTGATTCCTAGGTTGTGTGAATCCACGATCCACAGTCTAGCACAGGTGCTCTCATGAGGTGTGGCGGGCGGGGAGGAGAGGAGGAGTGGTTGGTTTTGTGTATTAATAAGACTTTGGATTTCTAGAAAGTATTTAGGAGTACTCAGTGGGTGATGGTTAGAGTGTTCATAATTTACTCGTAGATTTAGGTACATGTTCTGTGCACATATTTCACAAAGTCAAGTGTTCAGGTGGCCCCTCTGGTTCTTTATTTTTTCTCATGCACCTGGACAATCAGGGAGGGAATAAGCTGGACTAGACAGGAATCAAGACTCAAGGGTGAGGGGCAGTCAGATCTATTCTACCTTATCAGTGTGTTGTCTTCTGTGGGTAAGTACATGCTGGGATAAATCTTGCAAAAACTAATACTTGATTAAGATGAACATCAAAGGAAGGATTATCACCTGAGTTTCAATGTTTTGAGGTAAAGGAAGAAGAGGCTTCAAAATATGGACCTTCTGGACACTGTCAGTTACCCATATTGAAAATATAGAACATGACTCATCTTTCGGCTCCTGGAAACAGTACTCCTCAGTGTAAATTCCCTAGTCAACACCATGCAAGCATGCGGTGTTTTTCTGAGGTATGACTCAACAGCTTTCAACAGATTTTCAAAGACTTTCTTGACCCAAGGAAGTTAAGAACTAGCTGGGTGTGGTGGCTCTGGCGAGTAGGCCCAGACACTCAGGAGGCTGAGGTGGAAGGATCACTTGAGCTGGTGAGTTCAAGACCAGCTTGGGCAACACAGTGAAACTCTGACTCTGAGAGGAAGAGAGAGGAAGAAAAAGGCCACTTAAGAAGGAACCTAAAAAACAATTGAGGTCATGAAGTGAATTCTTATCCACTTGCAGAGAAGAGGGAAAGAATCACTTGTGTGTTGTGGTTTCATATACCAGAGTTGCTTAACTAAAGGCTATTTTGCCCCCTCCCACCCATGACAATGTTAAGAGACATTCTTGGTTTTCACATCTGGAAGAATGTTACTGAGATCTATTGGGTAGAGGTCAGGGGTGCTTCTAAACATCCAATAGTGGAGTTCATCATCCTGCTAAGGTTTTGTGTGTGATTCAACTTTTACATTTACTAATAATTTCCCACCTGTATTAAATATACTCATCTTTCCATATATTTGTATGTGTGTATGTATTTCTTACAAATAGCACGTTGTGGTTGAATATATAACTCAGCTCCACTGAAATAGAGAGAAATGTTTATTTTAAAGTGGATTCTGAATATGCCTATATTATATACCCTTACACAAACTTTCAAGGTCCAGTTAAAATGCCATCTTTTCCATCAACATTCCTTGATGCTTTCAGTCAGAATTAATATAACCCTTTTTGTGGTTTCTCTTGGCACCTTAACTGATTCTCTCTTAAGATGTCTCTCATAATTACCTTAGTATCATATTTGTATTTACCAATAAGTCTTATCTTTCTCACTAAACAAAATCTTCTTGAGGACAAGCAATATATCTCCCTCCAACAATTATTGCCTTCTATCATGTTCTCTAAACAGACTTACTTATAGCCCAAACATGTTTTTTAAAACTAAAAATTATATTACATGTTTGTCTACATTTTGTTTTTCAGGTAAGATTATGATATAGGTAAGTACATGTGGATTTTTCTAGCCTGGGCCAATGGCTGTCTAGGATTCCAGAATATCAACTCATATATACAACTTCACAGGAAATCACCTAGATAATTCAAGCCTTTCTTTAATTTAGGGGCATTCTGTACAAACATAAAGACAACCATATATTTATTTTAGTCTGGTCCAGTCAGTCCTCTGAACCACTTTGCTTCAGGACTTGGCAATGGTTTGGTGGTGATAGTGATTCAGAGGATTAAGGAGTGAGATAGAGATGGCAGAAGGACAGAGGAGAAAACAGACTATCAAATAACACCAGGAGTGAACAGTGTTAATTCTCTTGACGAATAAACAGAATTTTTGGAAAGGCAAATGTATAAGAATTCCATTCAATAATCACTATATGTCCTGCATGTAAATGGATGAAGATATTGCTTCCTTTTTCTATTAAATACTTTCACTATAGCAGAAATAAATAGTGCATGAACAGAATAGCATTTCCATTACAAAATTCTATAAGAGGATAAAAATTCTTTTCTCATAGGTAAGAGTCTGTGAAGTTGGCTGTATTTTAAAAACAGAGAAGAGTAGGAGGTGATAACAGTTTTCTCTCCTCACACAATTTACTTGTTATATTAAACACATAAGATTACTCACTTGGGCTTTACAAATCAAGCTTCACCTATTTTACATAGAGGTAGGTGGTTCTTATTTATCAGAATTTAATCATATCCAGGATTCTTTCCAAGAGATAGATGTGTCACTTCAAAATAAATGTCAGACAATAATACTGTTACTTTAGATTTTTAATTAGCAGATAATGATGATTTAAAATGTATATTCTGATTTATCATATCATTTGGAGTGTTAGATATACACATTCATTCATTCGTTCACTCAAGGGTTTATTAAAAAATTTTTTGTTGGTCATGGATAGAATGTTGAACAAAGTCATGCACCTAGCCTCATTTGTGGGTGTAGCAGATACTTACCAAATGGTCACAAAAAGTATATACTATTTCAATGATTTTAAAAATGCATATTTTCTACAATTTATCAGGATTCATCTTACAATTGATGATGTGCAATGGTTCAATTGGCAGCATTTTTTCTTTCTTAGTCAAAAATAATTTTGAGCTTTATAATCAATGACATCCTAAAACTAATGAAATATATATTTCTATACTTTCATAGTATATCTATGCTTTTAAGTGACTATTTGTGCTACAAGAATGATTAGATTCCTTTGTTTATTTAAGTGCAGCTAATTTTGTTACATTTTCCTTATCTAAACAGGAATATAGTGTAAATTTTTTTTAATTTTCACAACGTAAGAAGTTCTGTAATCAAGAATTGCAGAAGAAACATTCAAATAATGCCCAAAATGCTATTTTAAAAAGCAACCTAGAGTTTGATTTTTATTATTTTCTACATTTGAAGTGTGATGTATAAAGCCTATTTATTATTTTTTATGTGAAGTTGAATCATTTTTGCTAGGAGGCAGTGTTTGGAATTCTAGGGATGAAACCCAGGGCCTCCTACATGATAGGCAAGCACTCTACCATTGAGCTATATCCCCAGCCCCAGTTATCCACACTTAAAACTGAAACCCTGCTCACATTGCAGATTGGCATTCATGGTCAATAGGAAACCCCAAAAATCACTAGGGAAAGAGGTAATTTTCCCCCAGGAAAATTCAACCCTAATTTTGATCTTTTGTTTTTATTATGGTTGTTAAGTTTCTTCTCTCAATTTTCTTGACTTCTCCTGCTCTGAACAATTTACTGAGCTTATTGTCAATAACCATACAGTTTTGCCCTCAATTGTTTTGTTTCCTGCATGTTACTTTTTTTTTAAAAAAACAATATCTTTATTTATTATTTTTATGTGATTGATGCTGAGGATCGAACCCAGGGCCTCACATGTTCTAGGCGAGTGTTCTACCGCTGAGCCACAACCTCAGTCCAGCCCCACTGCGTGTTACTGTTTTTTCCTCTCTCCAGTTATAAGATATGCTCCTTAAGGATATAAATAACATATATCTTTTATGGTATTAAAAAATAAGATGTGTCTATAGTAGAAAATTTGGGAGGGCTGGGGTTGTGGCTCAGTGGTAGAGCGCTCATCTAGCATGTGCGAGGCCCTGAGTTCAATCCTCAGCACCAAGTAAAAATAAATTAAATAAAGGTATTTAAAAAAAGAAAATTTGGGAAATATATTAAATTAAAATTAAAAATGGCAATCACTTCTTATCACATTGCTCACATAATAACAGTTATGAATTTTGCTTATTTCCTTTTTTTGTCTTTTTTCCTCTGTGCATAC